GATTCTAGCGGAATTCAGCTGATAGTGATGCTCTTTCGACAATATGTTGTTATCATTTTTTAGTAAAATAATTGATTAGGCTTTATATATTTTCTTTAACAAAATTTGTTTATTGCGATACCAGTTTTTCTACGATATTCCCATGTTTTATCCCAGTTTTTCACATTGTCTGGGAAAACTCTTGGGACAATTAAAATATGACCTCTTTAAAGTACCTTCCTAGTGAAATTTCCTTTTAGAAACATTGCTATCATTAAAAGTTGGAGTAAAATTGCTGGTTGAAAAGTTGTGCATAGAAATAAAGTAGTATATTTTAACTATAATACCTACATTTCTTATATTTTCCCGTATTTTTCGACCTTTTAAATTTAATGAGAAATTGTTTAAGAAAATCGAAAAATGACCTCCCTAAAGTACCTCTCCACACCGATTTCCTTTCAGAAAAGATGCTTTACTTAAAAATCTGAGCAAGTCTTCTGGTAGAAAATTTGCACACAGATAAAAAAAAATAAATATCTTGGTAAATCTCCATTCAGAATCTAAAATCTGAGAACCCCTGGTTCTGATAATATTTGAACTCCACCCATCGACCGCCAGCGCTTACTTTTCGTGAGCCCAACTTTTTTTGCCTTATAGTTACCAAAATCACGATCAAATATATACTTTAGATATCTTTAATCGGTACTCGGGAGTTACCTAGCTGAGCGATTGTCATTGTCCTTATCACCAAATAAGTTACTACCACGAATCACAATTGTAATATATTTTAAATCGTGACCATGGTTAACGATAATTTAATTATTCTGTTTTCTGTGTGATACTCTAGAAATTCGTTGACACAAACTGGTATATCAATACATTTTGTACCGGTTTACTAACACTTGATACCGATTATTTTACACCAGCCCGCAGATAAATAAAACAACTAGATAGCCGTCTGCTATAGTCTATAGTATACACTCTATACGTATCACAAAAATATCACCAACAAAATGGCCACCAATCGTTATCTAAGAGGTGAATATTTACAAATTAAACTGATATAATAAGTGATAAAATACTATTTTGGAACTTTACTGTACAGTGTCGGGGGCGTTCGTGAAGCTCGCTTAAACTCTTATAAGCGCTTATTACCTAACCGCACCGTTCGGTTTGACGTTTGATAGCGCTCACTAACGCTTATCCTATCGAGGTAGGGCAGTAAACACTCACAAGCTAATCAAATGATAATTGATACACCGAAATAAGTGATAACGCTTTGAATATATTTTCACCTAATAATAAATTATTATTCTTTGTAGAATACGACCACGATGTTTAGACTTCGATTTATATAAATTTATAGAAATAGAAATGTTTGAAGTACATGACATTTTAACAATTTTTAAAATAACATCGTTAGTCGTTACAATTATAGTACCTAGTGATAACAATTATAGTACCTAGTGATAACAATTAACAGCTGATAACTGCGATGATCACACAACCAATATTCTTATATTTGCGTTCGTCTTGAGATCCACCTAGCAGTGTTATTTAGCTATATGTCTAAACCAACCGTTTACAAGCGTGAGCGTTGGCACAAGCACCACAAGCGTCTAAGCATTGCTACACGAACGCACTTATTGTTCAATGTACATGATAGGGAGACCAGGAGTTATTTGAAAAATGATAAGAGTCTCGTGTACAATAATTTTGAAATGTTGCCATTACCAACATAATATTTTTTTACTTTTAATATAAAATAATTTGACATTTTAAATATGTGTTGCACTAATTTCATCATTGAATAACTAATTATTAGATCTATGTTTATAATAAAACCTTATAAACTAAAAACTTTATTTAATCTGTACTAACCATACATAAATTCATAAATAAATACATTACATTAAATAAATTAAAATGTATTTACCTCTTGAAGCTAAGTTTGTTGTGGGGTAAATAAGTTATCATAAATTTCAAATTATTTAAATAACATCAATCTGCATACTAAATCTTTAAATAAATTATAAAATATATCATTTTTCCGACATTAATACATTTTGTCTTATTTTATAGTTACATAATTATTGTAAATTTAATTTTTACAATTATTTTAACAAATATTCTAACTAATTGTATCTATAGTATTTTTTTGTTTCTTTGTAAAAGGTCTTTTTTTGGAAAATATTCTAGTATTATAGCTTTTGCTTATATTTACTGTTAAACACAGTTATGTAAAAAATGTTTCGGCAAAAATTAATTTAACCTACAACTACATAGCTAATAATAAAACAAATTACTTTAATAGCATAATCCGTATATGAATGCTATATACACATAACATTTCAAATAATTAAGATATTTTAGTGTTACGTTGGCGTACATATAAGCGGTGATAAAAATGTCTTATCATTTTCGAGCAACTACCCAGCACCCTAGATAATATTTAACCCTTTATTATAAAGGCATGGAATATTATCACATGGCATATTATAACATCGTTCCTTATCAATAGTATAAAACATAAACATTCACCTCTTAGATAATCATAGCGGCCATTTTGTTGACGACAATAATAATACCAAAGTCGGCTATCTAGTTGTTTTATAAATCTGTGCACTAGCCATAGATATTCAGCGATGGAAATCAGTGTATCCCCACCATTGTCCAAAATTAACAATGATAACATCAATTAAATATTGATCAATTATTTAAATTATTACCTACATTTCCAATTTCCCGCTTATTAATATTAGTATAGTATTCATTTTGTTAGTTAATTTTATTAAAATTTTCGATATCACAGGCATTAAAATTAATTTGAATATTAATTGTTATTATTTATCTATTCGTGTATTGTTTCGAGGGGGGAATGAGAGGGTATGAAACTGGTGTAAATAGTTTGCACTATATGCACGTGAAAGTGCTGAAAAATTAAACCGGTGTCGTTAATTTTAATATCGGTTACTCCAAAAAATGTCTCAAATCCACACCGGTTTGTACCAACGAATTTCTAGACTATATAATTTAGACGAATTTAATACATAAACTATAGATATATTAATATGTACATGATTTAATATTATCCTTTTTTACATTTGTATAGATTATTTTGTATTTGTTACTAGACAGACACTAGTTGTGTGTATAACTAAACTGTTACAATGTTCATTATTATTTTTTATGACTATACTTTTATTGTAGTTACATAAATTTGTAGGTCATTTTTACTAGGAAAATGCTAGTCAATTTAGTAACCAAAAATTGTTATATTAATTTATACATTTATTTATTTAAATTAATTTTTTTTATAATAATTTTCCTTTCACATATATTTGTAAACATTAAATTATTAGTAATTTAAAGCCAGAAACTAGAAACACATTTTATAATTCATGTGTCTCAGTTCTGTTTAAATTATACATGTATATTGTATATTAGGTATATAATATTATATACCGGTAAATAGTAGTCCAAAATCATAACTCACTAGTTACTTTAATTATGAAAAATAGTGAAAGTGAAGCAGTCCTATGACTGATTTTAAAAGATAAAATATGTTATTTAAATAAAATGAAGTAGTTTTGAGGACTAGGAGTATTTGTACCAATATATCTAAAATGGTACAAAGTTCTTGACTCCTCAAAAATTTAATGTCTAGAACCGCTACCGCCCCCTAAACAAATTTCTGCGGGTCTAAGTACCTAGATACCTATTTTCAAACCTATTATTATGTACCTATACACTATATTCCTTAATAAAAATATAAAATTATACATTCATTCCGGTGGAGAATATCACAGACCAGAGCAAAATATCCTGAGGGAATATCCAAATTCCGATGTAGAAGCCACTGCCCTCTAAAATTTTTGTTCAAACACTTATTATTGTATATATTTTAAACAGGGTGATCAATCTGTCATAAGACACTCATTATCTTGGAAAATATTAAATTTTTCCGTAATTTATTCTGTAAAATATTTAAGAAACAAGCTGCTCTACAATTTTATATTAGGGGTAAAACCATCACATACTTTTGATTTTCAAATAACAACCTATATTAAAAAATCCATAAATAGATGGAGTATTATTATAAATAAATTTTAATGTTAAAATTTTTGATTTCCGTCAGTCCATTGACGAGATATTCCATTTTTAAGTTGGAGGAGAGTAGTGGAGTATCATTTGTGAGGCGGTACGGTGTGCAGCGTGTTAAATTTGAAAATCAAAAGTAGTGGTTTTAACCCTAAACATAAGAGTGACAAAAAATAACATAAATATAAAATTGTAGAGGGACTTATTTCTTAAATATTCTAAAAAAAAAATTCCGGAGAAATTTAATACTTTTCAAGATAACTTATGTCATACGATAGATTGACCACCCTACATAGAAGCATATTTGAAACATGTGATTCACAAAAAACCAGGTGGGTGTCGTGGATGCATGGGTGTTCAGAAATATAACAAAAATTATTATGTCATAACTGAAAAATTAATAATTTTTCGCAATTTGTATTGTTTCATCATTTTTAAAAAATTGAAATACTTGGGTTTTTCGAAAAATAATTTTAAAAATTCAAGTGAGCTCTATACTAGATTTGTTTTCAGGAAGATGTAATTACAAAATATTTTTTCCAATAATTTGTAGGTATAGGTAAATATTTTAACAAAAATAACATATCTTATTTACCTACTGCTATTTAATACTAATAAGCAGGTATATTTTTCTTTGCAAGCAATCAATATTTTAGAATATGTAAACTTTTGATGTATCTACTAAATATCAATTGGATACCATCAAAAGGGACCGCGTAGACCTTTAATATAAATGATTACTTACAAGTATTAAATTAAAAAAATATAATAAACATAATCTATGTATATAATGGACCTACTCAGTTATGCATATCAGAAAAAAAAATATTACTTACAAATAACAATATCATAAGTATAAGCATAAGTAAAAGAATAATATTATATATTATTATATAATTTACCAATATATTATAATATATGTGCATTTTTAGTTATTCAAATAGGTACCTAACTATTGTGTGTATTTTAATAGATTATATATACATAATATATTCAAAAATTGAACTTAACAATTAATGTAAAGTAATATTATAAGTAGGTTAGGGGTTATAAATAAAAAAAAACAATTATTTGATATAAATTTAAATATCATGTTTATATGTTTATATATATCGTAAAGCAATTGAACCTATATATGTACATATATCTATATGTATTATCATACATGCATAATGTATACTATGGATGCCTATACATTCGTATACAGTATATAGGTACACTGTACACACTAATAGATAATATAGACATGAATATATATCAAATAATTTAATATATACTAATAATTCTAATTGATTAGAAATTATTAATATTAAAATAGGTACTATATTTGTATATTAAATAAACATGTACATTGCTGACATAATGTATATTGTATTATTGATCTTTGTTCAAACAAACTGTAACTACCATTGAAGTACTTAAATGTATATAACATAAATCTAAAAAATTAAATAATACATTTTCATAATCACATCATTAGTTTTCAATTTTAAATATTGTCAATATTTCTAACAATGTTCAATTAGCTACCTATTCTTATAATAGTAATATTATAAAAATATAACATGTATGAACATATGTATATATTAATAATACCTACATACAAAATTAAAAATAAAAAAAATAGTTATAAGCTGGTTATGAGTTAATTTATATGAGATTTAGAATTAATATATGTGAATTATTACATACAACATAATTTTTTTTTCTTGTACCTACAAACTGATAAAATAGGTCGATACAATTAATTATGAATTACTTATAATTTCACTGATCAAAAATTGTTTTATCAACTAATGACTTTTAGCCCTGTGAAAAAAGACCAATTCAAAGTTGTATCAATCTATTAAATAATATTAATCATATTATGAAATTTTAACTTATTAACTATTGCATTTAAATTCAACTAATTATTCAAGTATTTTGATATTAGTTCAAAACCTATTTAAATATAATAATTATATTATAAATTTGGGTTTCCCAGTTCTTAAAAAAAATATACAGTTTTTCATCAATTTTTTTTTATTATTATATTTACAGTAATTATTAGTTTTATATTACTTTGTGGCAAAACAATAATAATTTAGAATGGATGTTAATATTTTAATTCTGAGGTTTATTAACTAATTTTTATTAGCATCATAATACTGTAACATTTAAATTTAAAATAGGTACTTGAAGTGAATAAAGTATGACAACAGACAAATACTTAAATCCAAATTATATATTTCACTTCCTATGTTCATGTAGTTATATTATATATTTCAATAAATTAGGTAATAAATAGAAGAATAATATCCCAATATTTGTATTGTAAAACCATTGAAGAAATGTATTTATTTATTATAAATGTATAGAATTATAATGAAGTTTCAATAGGCTTAACATAATAAATATAATGAACAAAATTACAATATTATTAAAATTTTGTTGATCTCCCATAATTTATTGACCACATTAAATTTACAATAGACTATTACTTGAATAAACATTATATTAAAATCTTATAATAATACATTATAATTAATAATTAAAATTTTAATAAAAAATAAAAATAATTTTATCTCAATCATACTTAGATCTAGTTTTTAAATTAGATATTAATTTAAAAACATTTTCAGTTCATATGAAAGGAATTAAAATTACTTTCTTCATTATTACTATAATATGATATACCTATATGTATATTTTACTACAAACTATTTTTTAAATAACTAAAACGCCGTGTAGGCCTTTTTCCTAATGCTTTTATGTAGGTGTAAATATTGTATCCAAATAAGACATGATTTACACATTTACATTAAAATATAATATAAATGTTAATAATACAACACAGATAATATCCTATGTGTTCATTATGATTCATGAATTCCAATCATATGCTACATAAATTTTAGGTACAACATACCAACCAATATCAATAACTATTTAAACAATAGTTACTTAGGTACCAGTAAGAAAAGCTTACAATATATTTGTATTAACAGACTATTTAAAATAAATAAATATAAACATATTTCGAGCTTTCCTTCTTTATTTAAAATTATATGAACAGTTGTGTGTGAAACAGTTAATAAATTAATATTTAATATTTGTACAAATTGACATTATGCGATTGTGGTATGTCCATATATGAGAGTAATTAAATTACTTCTTTGAAAAATAATTTTATTTTAACAAATTTCACACAAAAACTGCTTTCTATCTGTCTGATGAATCAGCATCACAAATTAGGATATCTTAATTTGTGCTCAGCATCAACCATCAAATTGTAACTTAGAAGATGATTTAAGCCATCACATGTGAATCTTTTTATCTTATGTGAATCCTTATTATATTATCTATTAAATTACAATTTGTAGAAAACAATTTAAGGAGAATTTTATATGATAACCCCTTCTCGTCCAAATTAACTGTTAAATTGTAATCTCAATGGAATGGAATTTAAAGGCATACTTCACAAATTAATCACTTTTTATCTATGCATCCTGTAAATCCTCATTATATGTTACAATAAAATTACAATTTATAAAAAATGGTTTAAAGCAGACATTTCATGAACAGTTGTAATAAATTAATATTTAATATTTGTACAAATTGATATTATGCTATTATTGTTGTCCGTGAATGTGACTAATTAAATGAGTGCTTTGAGGAGCGCCTTTTTTACAAATTTCACATGAAAACCGCTTCTCACCTGTATGAATTCTCATATGAACCATCAAATTGTAATTTGTAGAAAATGATTTAAGGCAGACATCACATGCAAACCGCTTTTCTCTTGTATGACTTCTCATATGTACCATCAAATTGCAATTTGTAGTAAATGTTTTATGACAAACTTCGCACATAAACCGTTTCTCGCCAGTGTGAGTTCTCATATGAACCATTAAATTGTAATTTGTAGTAAACGATTTTACACACACATTACACGGAAATGGTTTCTCTCCAGTGTGTGTTCGCATATGTACTATTAAATTACAATTTGTAGAAAATGATTTGAGGCATACTTCACATGAAAACCGCTTCTCGCCTGTATGAGTTCTCATATGAACCATCAAGTTACAGTTGGTGGAAAATGATTTAAGGCACACTTCACATGTGAACCGCTTCTCGCCTGTATGAGTCCTCATATGTACAACCAAATTGCAATTTGTAGAAAATGATTTAAGGCAAACGTCACATGTAAATGGCATTACTCTTAATTCCCTCTTCTGGTTGCACAAAATGTAACTGTTCTAGACACACATAACATAAAAACTTATTTTTATTGAATAGTACATATATTTCATTACATTATTAAATACAGAATATACCTGATAATAACTAAACAAACAATTATTAATTTATAAACATATTATTAAAGTTTATTGTAATTATAAAAGGTTATATGGTATACTTATGAATTTTTTTATTTTACCAATATAATAAGCTTTTTTCAGTGTTATATTAAAATTTAAAATGAAAAAAAAAAGTTTTTAATACTTGTACTCAAAAGTTTAATCAATTGTATAATAAATATTGACAAATGGGTACTTATTAAAAACACAAAAACTATTATCTCATTATATCATCATAATTTAAATTAATAAATCTTTAGTTCATGATCACAATAAAATTAAAATAATGTCTACTTTTTATCAGAATTTATAATGTTTGATATTTAAACATTCTATATTAATATGTATCTAATGTATATTTAGTATACCTAAAAACATTATTGTTTAAGTATAAAAATAAAACAATTAACAAAATAATGGATAATATCCATTTTTATTATAAACAAGTTAAATAAGTAAAAATATAATAAATATTAAAAAAATGTATCATATTTATTTTTTACGTAATTTTATTTAGCATTTTGGTATGAACACTTGATATGAACACTTACTTGCTAGAATATTGCAACTTTTAAATTTATTATTTAAAAGCTATTTAAATAAATAGCTTTTAAATTTATTTTTTAAAAGCTATTTAAGTAAATAGCAAATAAAACTATATGCAATGAAAACCGAATACCTATAATTCATAATTGTTATCATATTTTTATATTAGTAAAATAAAATAAAACTTTTTACTTCAATAATCAATATTAATTTACTTAAAGTTAATATCTTTTCGACCTACTTAAAATATAATAACTATGGTAGGCTATACCTAATATTGTGTAGTTTAAAAAAACACTGGTCAACCATATTACTATTCAATTCTTGTACTCATTTCCCGTAAGTAAAAGTGTTTTAAATAGTTGGTTCATGATAATTTTAACAACAAACTAACATTTGCAATATTAAAAATAGTTAAATTAACCACAGATTGTAATCATATATTTATATAATATCAATGCTTAAACAAAAAGATGGTTTTATTTAATTATCATATAACATGTTTAAGTTCCGTTTTCTATTACAGTGCATACCCATTGTGTTGTTTACTACAATTCTATGCTAGGAATATTCATTATTCTGCAATATGAATTCTATAATATAATATCTAGGTATAACATGTATTAACAATTTTTTAAAAAAATGATAAGTACGAATAAGGCAAATCAAGTATTCACTGTTTAAAACTGTTTTATATGCATTTAAAGAATATATTTACATTTAAAAAAATATAACAATACAGAAATATACGATTATTTTTTATTAATTACTCATTCAAAATGTATAAAATAATACATACCTTGTTAGACATAAAAATGGAACACACTAATAAATGTTAAATGTTAATAAAAAGGGCCGATAATTAAAAACGTATTAAGATTATTTCAACTTTTAACTAAAATAATGTAAACTGTTCATTAACTTAATTTAAAGACATCACTCTTTGCTCGATAATTAATAGATGCTGCATTCCATATTAGGGGGCTACTCTATATTTGGTGCGTCTTCTCCATTGTTTTCTTATCAACACTTTTTACCCAAATAAAATTGATTTTATGTGATAATAGCTCTTATCAATTTCCCCAACTGTTATCATTTAATTTAAACTTGAAAAATTAAAAGAGAAACGAGTACACTGTTAAATTCATAGAAATTATAAATACCAAAATATTATAATAATAATATTACACTACAGAGAAAAATAAAGTTAGCATAATACTATTATTAATACAATTTAACATTTTTTTAAACTTTTTTTTATATATTAGATAATTGATAATGTCTGAATTTAAACCACCGCTCAAGGTATTATAACTAACAATTAATCTGAATTTTTATTTCAACTTTTCTAACTACTAAATTACTATATTTAAAAATAATTGTATTATTTTTTTCCAGCGATATCGAAGAGATGATGAAGAAACTGATTCTGATAATGATTATGTACCATATGTACCTGTTAGAGAGAGGAAAAAACAAGAGTTACTTAAATTGGGAAGACTTTCAAAGGTAAATTGTTTTCTAAAAATGTCATTAAATTATCTTTATGGATAGTTTTTTTAATGGAGACTTCATTAGAAATATATTATATTTTGATAATATTATTATATGAAGAAAAAAAAACCTAAAATATTTAGTAAACATTAAGTATTAAAATGTACCCATAGACTTTTAATAGAATTAAAATTGTCTAGTTAAAATTTAAAATCATTGTTTAGCTTAAAGAAGATTCTGGTAAAAAAGTAAAATCATCTAGTGATGAATTTGATGATGATGAAAATGAAGGACAAGTATGGGGTAGAAAATCAAACATAAGTCTTTTAGATCAACACACAGAACTTAAAAAACTTGCTGAAGGTAAAAAAATTTGTTTAATTTTATTGGTAAAAATTGTATTTATGAAATTATGTTATGAAATTGCAGCTAAAAAAGAGAGTGAAATGGAAAAACAATTAAAAGAAGAAGAAAAAATTTTAGAAAGTGTTGCAGAAAAAAAGGCTTTGATGGGTGTTGCAGAATTGGCTAAAGGCATTCAATATGATGATCCAATTAAAACTAGGTTAAAATAAAAATAAATTTTATTGTGAAACATTATTTTAATGAAATGTTTTAATTTAGCTGGAAAGCTCCTAGATATATTTTAACCATGCCTGAAGACCGTCATGAAAATGTGCGTCGTAAATTACGTATATTAGTTGAAGGAGAGGATATTCCTCCTCCCCTTAAATCATTTAGAGAAATGAAATTGAACAAAGGTATTATGGCTGGGCTTGCCCAAAAAGGCATTAAAAAACCAACACCCATACAGATTCAAGGAATTCCCACTGTGTATGTATTAAATATAAAAATAATGTTCTATATAATTGTATTATAAAATTGTAATTTATAGATTATCTGGGAGAGATATGATAGGTATAGCTTTTACTGGCAGCGGTAAAACATTAGTATTTGTGTTGCCTCTTTTGATGTTCTGCCTCGAACAAGAACTCAAATTGCCATTCAAACCTAACGAAGGACCTTATGGTAATATATATTTTGTATAAATGTATTTATTTATAATTAGCATTTATAATTTTATAGGATTGATAATTTGTCCATCTAGAGAATTAGCAAAACAAACATTTGATATTATCAATCACTATATGACATATTTAGAGCGAGGCAATTACCCTAGTCTTAGATCATGTTTAGCTATAGGTGGCATACCTGTTTTTGAATCACTCGATGTTATAAAAAGGTACGTTTTAAACAATTAAACCTAAATTAACTATGTATAAGATGTGTGAAATAATTTTATCATTGTTTCATTTGTATTTTGTTATTTTATCAAATTATCTTTATTGTAGACTATAGTTTAAATTTTAATAAATAATAATTATACTATGTATTAAGTACTTTTGTTTCATTGTTTATTTAGGGGTGTACACATAATGGTGGCAACCCCAGGTCGATTAATGGATATGCTAGACAAGAAAATGATAAACTTGGATATTTGTAGGTTTGTAACAGACTAAAATTATAAATAAATTAGTGCCTAATTTATTAATATCATTTTTTTTTTTTTTTTTTATATTAGGTATCTTTGCATGGATGAAGCTGATCGAATGATAGATATGGGTTTTGAAGAAGATGTGAGAACCATATTTTCATTTTTCCAAGTATTTATTTTATTATTTATTTATAATAATAATAACTTAGAGACTGAATTTATTTATTTTTAATATTAAAATTAAATTAATTTCAGGGTCAAAGACAAACTTTATTGTTTTCTGCCACGATGCCCAAAAAAATTCAAAATTTTGCTCGATCAGCTCTAGTTAAACCAATTACTATTAATGTTGGTAGAGCAGGTGCTGCATCAATGAATGTTATTCAAGTAAATGTTTTAATATATTTTTAAATCACATAAGTGATACTTATTATAAAACATTTATAATATTTCTAATAGGAAGTAGAATATGTTAAGCAAGAAGCAAAAGTTGTTTATTTGCTAGAATGTTTAAAAAAAACTATGCCACCAGTATTAATTTTTGCAGAAAAAAAACAAGACGTTGATGCAATACATGAATATTTATTACTTAAAGGTGTTGAAGCAGTCGCTATACATGGAGGAAAGGGTATGAAAGAATTTATTTTATATGTGTTATTTACAAAATAAAAATAAAAACCCACTCATAGAATTGCTTCTGTATTTTTCTATCAAAATATCGTAATTTTTTATTAAGATTAAACCTGGGTCTAGTCAATAAGAAAAGCTCTAAAGCCTAAAAATATATACTTATGTATGTAACTACATTATAGCACAGTTATCGATGTTATGATTAACAACTTCAACCAATTTATTAAATTTGTTTTTCTTGTTCATCTGATGAAAAATAATAATAACAATAATACAAATTTTACATTCATGATTATATTATAAATAATATATCTAATGGAGTGTGGCAAGACTTTTCCTTATATTCATATACTAATAATATTAAGGTATAATAATAAACGAATAAATAAATAAATTATTGTTGTTATGAATTTATATTAAATTTTTTATTTTGATTCATAACTTAATTTACATTTATTAGTTTAGCAAATTGAAAATATTCATGTTTACTCCCCCTAATATATTGTATATTATTAATATATTTAGATCAAGAAGAACGTTCAAAATCAGTTGATGCTTTCAGGAAAGGTCACAAAGATGTGCTTGTTGCTACTGATGTAGCCTCCAAAGGTTTAGATTTTGAAGAAATACAACACGTAATTAACTACGATATGCCTGATGATGTTGAAAATTATGGTTTGTAAAATAAAAATGTTTTATAATAATAATCTAATGATGTATTATTAATTTATGTTTACCGATACAGTTCACAGAATTGGCAGAACTGGTCGTTCAGGTAAAACGGGTATTGCTACAACTTTCATCAATAAAGCTAACGACGAATCTGTACTACTAGATTTGAAGCATTTATTAATAGAAGCTCGACAAACAGTTCCATTGTTTTTAGCTGAATTAGAATCAGAAAATGAAAAATATTTGCAACTTGGAGGTATATATTATTGCGTTTTCTTTTTTTAATAAATTTATCAAATTAATTTTGTTTTAGATGAAAGAGGTTGCAGTTATTGTGGTGGTTTGGGTCATAGAATTACAGATTGTCCAAAGTTAGAAGCTATACAAACCAAACAAGCATCTAATATTGGGCGTAGAGATTATTTGGCCAATAATGCAGCAGACTATTAAATTATACAAATATATAAACATTACCATGTTAGAAATTTAATATTCCTATAATATAAAGAAAACAAATGCTATTATTTTACAATGAATTATACTTAAAATAAATTGTATATATTATTATTTTGTATTTTTTTTTTAATAATAATTAAAGTTATGTGATGTATTATTTTAATGTCCAATTTTTGATCTATTATATTAAACAGTTAAAAGTTAAGCCCTAAAAAACATGGTTACTAAGATAAAAACAGTAAAATTCTATAAAAATTATAAATCTTCATTTTTATTTAGCTATAAGATTTCGTGTTAGATTTATTATTGAATTCAATTTTAATTTATGAGATTGGAAAAAATAAGTATAATGTATTATTTTATAAAATAAAAAAAAAACCACCTATCACATTACATTCAGAATTTTTTTTTAGCGCTAGATGGTATAGTACATACCATCTAAGTACTATGATATGTTACAGTACAGATACATATCAACTTATGATGGACCTCATGTTAAATTTTTTTATCATTTTTACCAAAATAATTTTACCTACATAAACCCATATAAAAACCAACAAAACATTTTCAAAGTGTTATAAATAGCTCAAAAATCAATAGAATGTTTTGAAAATTGTGCAACATCAAGTCAATACAAATATTCAGTACAAATTTCAGGTTTTTATCATTATTTTTAACCAAGCTAGCTCAATGAAAGCCAAGGGATGAAAATTTGTGCTTTTCTCACTTTTAATCACTTTTTAAGTATTCTTATACAATTTTATAAAAAATAATTTTTTTATTGATATTTACTACAAGATCTTGGTATCTAATATTGTTATAATTTACTATGTGATGAAAAAGAAATTTAAAGTCTTGTATAAGTTTAACCTAATACAACCAGACTGGCATATGTTTAAACAATTGTTTTAATTACAATACAAGTTGTTATTTATCTTTAAATTATCACTAAATTCTTTAATAAAGCATGGTTGCACCTATTATACCATTTTACCAATCCTAACCTATCAGTATTAAAATTATTATCTAAAACTACTACTATTGATGTTAAATAAGTAATTTTTTTGTTAATATAAGTCAGTTATTTTTGTATGGAAATCACTTTTCTCACTTATTTTCAAACCATTGACATTGACCATTTCCATCCTTGATAAAAGCAAATCCAAAATAACAAAAGGTTTTTGGGTAAATTGCCCATTTTTTCCAAATTATTAAAAAAACTTCAAGGGAAAACAAAAAATACACTTGATGCATCAACTAGATAAAATTTGGCTTCACCATTTATTTCTACTATGGAATCAGACTGCCAGATACCAGTTTTCTGCAGTCAGCAAAGATGGCAGATTTATTTAGTTTTCCATATTTGGCTATTCGTAATAGCAACACTATTCTAAATTATTTTTAGTATTTCCACTGTAAATATTAATCGTATTGAACTTCAAGTTGAAACAAATTAGAAATATCAGATATTCCAATTTATCTTATTAAAAAGAAATAATTTAAATGTTTAGGCAATACAATTTATTAATTTCAATGAGCCATTGCCAATAAGTATTTTTGCTCGAGGTAATACGATTATACACCAATATTATTCTTTAGAAATTTTAGTTTCAATATAAAATAATTATATACAGACAAAAATAAGAAATAAGTACAAACATTTAATTAAACTATAACTATTTAAAACACAGATAAAAATAATTTCTCAGTTTATTTTTCAAAATTCAACATACAGAATATCCATCCTCAATAGTTTTATTTTTTAAATAAAAATGTAGGTTGAATTAATGTTTTGTGTGTATTTAAAATACTTAAAACAATGAAAAATAAATAAGAATATAGATTAACGCCTGTCTGTTTTACCAATGCCTCTTTTACCGGCATACAAGTGTCTTGGTCTTTTGGTTCCAATAAATCTATCAGCTTCTCCTTTGAGACCTTGCTTTTTGACTTTCTTCGCGATTGCTTTATGTGCAACTTTTTTAAGTTTCATTTGCATCTAAAAAAAAAATTAATATTATTAATACTCATATTCATTGTAAAAATTATTTACTTTAATTTTAATAATAATATATAAAACATACCGCAGAGTCGCGAACACCAGATTGATTTCTGGGCAATCTACTTTGACTTCTGGATGTTGAAACTAAACGTTGTTCAGATGCCATACGTGGTTTCTTATTGTTTGTTCGTGACTGTGATCTTGTTAATGAACGAGCACGTCCACGCGTTTTTGTGAAATGTGCCTGAAACGATAAATTAGTTTTATTTCATATACTATAACATATTTAATAATATTAATATATTACTTTTTCAGTGCCTTCCATATCAACACCTAGATCTTCCATAGTATTTCTAAAATCTGTAGCACTACGACCACGGGCTTTAGCCGGAGCAGTTCTAGGTGTTGTAGGTTTACTAGATTGGCGAGTCATTCTACTTTCATTACGATTAATTATCTTTCTGTCTCTGATCTTTTGTGCCAATTCCTTAATTTCTCTCAAAGTTTCGTCAATTTCAATCTTTGGTACAGCATAGTATCCAGCTTCTTCTCTAAGAGCTTCTTCTTTTTCAAGTTCTTCAACTTTCTAAAATATTAAAGGAAAATTAACATCTTTAGAACTATACTAATTTAATAAAGACAGATATTTAAAGTAAATTATTTAAAATGATATTTTACCTGTAATAATTCTGCATGAATAAAATCTGCAATGTTTCTTCCATTCCAGAATTCAGGGATAATGTCATGTCTAAATTCTTCAGGTATATCATAATTCTTCTTAAGATCTAAAATATAATCATCTCCGAGTTCATCTTCCAAATTTTTCTCAAGTTTCTTTTTAAACTCTTGAAGTTCAGCCAATCTTTGCTTTTGTAATACTTTTTCTAAAAAACAAATTAAAATATTTAAAATACTAATTTGATGTTTATTAATAGTTTATCACGGAAAAAACATACCAGGTATACAAGAAGGTCTTTCTTTTTCATCTCGAGTTTTAGGTAATGCAACATGTAAACGGTTTAAAATTGAATCAACTTTCTTAGCTTGGATTTTATTTTCAATACGATAAGCTAAGAGAGTATCACAGGCCTAATAATACAAATAAAATATAAGCTATTAAGAACCAATGAGCAAATTATGCATAGATAAAACATTATATTACATTAAATTGATATCAAACTGTTTGATGAGTAAATAATGCTAAGCATTGGATTTTTAAATCATCTTGAAAAATGTGAATAAACTAGAAAATTTTTATTTGTTTTTGTTTCAAATCATAAAAAACTCTATTAAAATAAAAAATAGTGAAAAATAATAAAATTGAATGAGGCAATTTCAATAAAATGTTTTCCTATAAACATGTATACAACATCATATTATAACTAAATGTAAACCCAACACGCATAATATCAAAATAATTTATTTAAAAAAATATATAAATATATATATTTTCCCCGATTTAACATGGTATTACTATCTTAGATAGATATGTAAAAAAGGGACAATATTTTTAGATATAAGAATTAATTAAAATCAAATATTATTTCTATTAATAATACCTGCTGTTTTACATCCATAACTCCTTCATCAGTAATAGCTGACATCGGCAACAGTGGGACATTGTTTTTCTCAAAAATACTTAAAGCTTCACGGCTAGCCTCACTCAGCTGGTCCATAGGCGTAACATCAACTTTATTACACACTACTAAAAGTGGCTAAAATATAAAATAATAAAATACAATAACTTTAAATTGAATATTAAAATTTAATAAACAGTAATACAAAAATAATCTGTTGAAATAAACATTTAAGATCTTAATTATTTTAAAAAAAATTAGATGTTTTATTTAATTGTATAATTGAATGTGTAATATATATTGAAAAAATACATTTTTGGAATAGGTTAAGATTATTTTCTAATAAAGATGAAAGAGTAAAAATACCTAGTCACACTGTAAAAATTTGGTAAAAATATATTTTTAAATGTAAATTTAATACATGTCATTGACAATAAATAATTCAATCAAACTTATTATATTCCAACTTAACAATTTTAGCTTCAAGTACAACAAACTTAATTTATATAACTTACTTTATTTGTAAACAATGGTTTAATAGATTCATACAGCTTAACTTGTTCTGCAATTGAATGACCACATTGTTCAGAAATATCTATAAAGTAAAGAATAGCAGCTCTTAAATGGGCTAAAGCAGTAACAGCCTGCATTTCAATAACATTTCTCTCTTCTAAAGGATGATCTAATACTCCTGGAGTATCAACCACTTGCCATCGTAAATATTTATAATCTGTGTGTCCTACATATAAACTTTTTGTAGTAAATGCATATGAATGTACTTCAACATCAGCTCTTGTAATCTACAAAAGAAAATAAATTAACTAAAATATTCAGCATTACTACTTACAATTATTTACTTTATTTAAAAAACTGGATTTTCCAACATTAGGGAAACCACACAGAATTAATGTTCTAGTATATGGATCAATTGAAGGCAAACGTGATAAATGCTGACGGACTTGTTCTAGGTAAACTAAATTGGGAGCTTGACGCTTCATAATTGTAGCCATTCTAAATAATATGGTATATAAATGAAAAATAATTAAAACATTTTTTTTTGTAACAATGACTTACCGTCCAAGTGCAGCTTTTTTTAGCATTTTACAACGATATAAAGAATCACCAAATTTCATAAGACGAACATAATCCTTTCCAACACTAAAGTAAATGGGATATTTTTAATTTCATATAAATATATAGTACAATATATTATTACTTATCAATCAGATGTCTAGCTTGATTAAGTTGTCCAAGAGCAAGTTTGTAATGATCCTTGTCATATAGAATGTTCATTAAATCTGCATAAAATGGATGAATATTCTGTATACAAATTTTAAATTATTATTATTTAATCAATAAATTAATTTTTTATTAATAATAATTGCCATACATCTAGTTTTGGGAATTCTTGAATAATCATAGACAAACGTTCATTGAAATTTTGTTGAGTATATCGTACTTTACGCATGTAAAAAGATCGTATTCTTGATATTTTATAATGTTTATGGACAACAGTTGGAGTCTTACGTTGAGTTTTTGATAACATTATATTAACAAAATCCTAAAATCATACAAGAGTTAAGGATTATAATATTGTTAATAAAAACTTTGTTTTTCATTAGACATTTATTCATAATTGTATAATTATAAATTTACCTTTGCAGTCGGTACAACCGTGATCTTTTTGAAGTTGTACAACGGCATTTTGTCTAATTAATATAAATATTTCAAATGAAGTTGAAATTTTCACGTTATTAAAAAATATAAATACTACCTGAAAATATAGACACCACTGCGTTTTAATATTTTGCAAAAGGAAAGAAATTACAGAATTGTGGACATAAGACTTAACCTTATTTGAGTTGTGAGGCACAGGTTAGCCAACTGTATAGATTTTATTTCATTATCAAAACTTTGTGATTAAAATTTAAAAAAAAAAATACATGTATACATATATAATATACTATACAATTTAGAAATATTATACCATGATAAAAATAATAATATTTATGATAATAGTTATTATTTCTATAGTGTATTATACATTTTAAACAACTGTAACTACTACTGACAGAAAATTATTATGATTAATTTTAATCGTACAAAATAATTAAACAATAATGCATATAATTTGGAATTTCTGTTATTACTGTTCTATATGCCGCCATTTTTATTTCGGGATATCGATTTAATTATATCAAAAAACAATCGATAAATAACTACACAGGAATTATTTATATCAGCATACAAATTCATTTGTTTTATATCCTATGTCTATAATTTTATGATAAGGAATTGCGTGAGAATGCCAAAATCCAACAAAATATAGTAAATATCATTTGTTTAATTCTCTTGTTTTAATCATGTCAGTTAATCGATCGTAATTTTAACTATCGATAATAAGATATTACAAATACATAATTTTATACTCCCTGAGTTTGTAACCGGGAAGCTGATTAGTTTGTTTATGATTATATTGTGTTAGGTTACAAAATATAAATTCGTTCCTTCTTCATTTTCATATTTAGAATTAATATTTATTTAAATTCAATATTTAAATTATAAAATACAATCATGAGTAAAGCACATCCTCCAGAATTAAAAAGGTAACTAGAAATTACTAATTTGTTTAATATTTATTATTTTAACAATTGTAAAGGTAGTAGGTACAATGTCTCCCATCATAATTATTAACTGCTTACATGCCTTAATTTATTAAAATAAAATTTAAAACATTTGGTTGTACATTGTAAATAACTAAATAATAATACTTTAAACAGTTAACAAATTTTTTTATCTTTGATCCTAAGGAAAAAATGCATTTTGTACTTTTTAATAAAAACAAATTAAATTTTAAAAACACTTAAGTACATGTATGTCATTTAGATGAAAAAATTATATTAAAAAAACGCCAAAAATTATTTATTATATATTGAAAATCTTGGTGCGTTTTAAAGTAAAATATTTAATAGTAAGATTATTTTTTGAGAAAAAAATGAATTTTAATACTTTTACACATTTCTGTTTTCAGGTATTTAGACAAGAAACTACAATGTAAGAATATTTTTTCTATCACAATTATTTACTATATCTACGACATGATATTAATTTAATTTGTATTACAGTGAAACTAAATGCCAATAGACAAGTTTCTGGAGTACTACGTGGCTTTGACCCATTTATGAACCTTGTTTTAGATGAAACTGTAGAAAAAATCAAAGATGGTATTGTTAATAGTATTGGCATGGTGGTATGTTAATATTACTTAATTAATATCCTTAAATTTTCGTATGAATTACTTACAAATATTTTTATTTTTTACAGGTAATAAGAGGAGATAGCGTTCTTACAATAGAAGCATTGGATAGAATAGATCAACACTAAATAATAAAGTCTAATGTTTCCTATTTTATATTTGTACCATCTTTCAAATGTAATAACTAATAATGAATCAAATAACATCCAATGTTTACTTCAAAAGTTAATTTATAAAAAAATAAGAAGTACATAAATATGAAATGTAAAATAATATCTTTAAAATTAAATCATTCTTATTTATGAATTATTTATTTATTTATTAAATGAAAAAGTTAAAAAATGTTCATACATTTTTTACTGGACACACCATTAAAATACAGGAACATAAAATAATAATCTAAAATAACCATTATTCTTATAGAATACTCCAAGCCAAAGTTTTTTTCATATTTTTATTTTATACAGTATTTTATTATTCAATATACATAATACATTTCAATATTTTTTTCTGGAACAATGGTTTTCATTTCATTACTTTTTGTTTTCCTCTCTATTAAGTCTGTATTTAAATTGCATGCTATATTAGTCATTTGTTTCTCTATATTTTCTAATAAATCACAATTACTACATTCATTGACTTTTTGTAGTGTCTCCAACACTATTTTTTCCACTCTACTTTTCAGGTTTTTAAGTTTTTCTGATTTTCTATTTTGTTTGTTAAATGTATAATCAATATTTTCTGTAATATCTTTACTTAAATGGACGTTTTCAGTAGATCGTGTTAGACTAGAAGATTTTATACTTTTTTGTGTATATGATGTATGATCTGTATTAAAATGTAAACATTTGTCTTTATTATCTTCACACTGATAAGTCTGTGGAGTTGCTTGATAAAGTACAACCAAATGAATATGCTCGCATATTATCTTTTTTGATAAAAAATCATTACATGTACAAGAGTATGAATGATAGCATATGTTACAACAGGAATATGATGTACAATTTTCGTTACATGATAATTTATTTTTAGTAACATGATAGATATATTCGTTATAGATATTAAAAGAGGAAGTTGTAGATGAATTATTTCCCATAGAAATTTTCCAAGCATTTTCATAAATTGGATGTACTAATGATAACGAGAGTTGTGATGCAACAATATGTCTTTTATTATTCTCCAAAGTATATAGGGATACATTAGGAGATGTTTCAATCATTTTTTGAATAAGTTCATATTTATTTTTAGAAGTTTGTCTTAATTTAGGCAATAAAATTTTGACATTATACTTTCTTGAAATGTTTAATATATCTCTACGTTTTATTAAATGTTTCCGTTCAAGGGGTTTAGATGAACCATCTCCTTTATACATCAACAATATGTCTTCAATTTTAACACCTTCTAATAGTTTAGAAGCTATCTCTTGTTTATCAGTTTTAGGAATTCGTAAATGTATTAATTCGGCTTCATGTCCATAATGGGTATGATATATCCTAGCTTGAACTGTGTCCTCAATTTCATTTATAGTTAGCGTCATTGAAGATGTGCAATTGTTGTTGATTTTAAGAATCCCTTGTGATTTTAATTTTCGCCTTCGACTGTGTGCTGAACTTTGATACATACCTGAACGATTACAATACCAATATTCTACTTTACGTCCACTACGTGTTTCAGTTTTACGATGATAATAGCAACTGCAAGTTTTTGTTTCATAGTTTTCTTTCCAACGTAAAAATTCTGAAAAAGTAAATAAACAATATATTCAATATAAATTAGTATAACAACTTTAAGCAATTGTTCGCAATTCAAATTTTGAATAGATAAATTACTTTATTTTACTTTGAAATTCTAATTGTTGATATATTATGGTATAAATGAAATAGACATAATATTAAAACAATTTTAAATTTTATATTGCATCTAGAAAAAAAAAAAATAAGCTGGTACTGGAGACGAGAGTGACTACTGTTGTAGGTGAGAAGTTGGGAAGGTAGGATAAATAAAGTTATTTCATTAGTATCTGTAAGCAACAATAAACCAATGCTTGATTCCAAGCACAATTCAGTAATATATAATTTGAAGTGTCGTATTATTTTTTTGCGATTTTTGTTTAAATTTAATCTCAAAACACTAATTTAAAAAAAAAAGTCATCCTATGATTTTGGAAATTTGACCACGTCTAGGTAAATCCAATATAAGTATTATTACCAAGTTTCAAGTATCTATGTATATTTATAACCAAATTACCTCAAAAAATCAAATAGTCAACAAAAAAGGTATCATGTGATTTTTCAATTAAATCATTTTTTTTTGGTAGAAAACATCTTCTGTATTTTTGTAAAATAATGAAATAGTGAAATTATATGTTATTTTCCCACTTAAGTGCTTTTATTTAAAAAATGGCGTCGAAAATCAAAAAATGACTTCTCTAAAGTACAATTTAGACAACTTAAGCTTGCTACATGCGTACAATCTCAAATATTCTTATGGCTTGAGCAATACCAGTCTACATATTTTATTTTTAAATTAAAAACATGATTAAGATATTATATATAGACATTGTTCATGATTATCAAGTTCTTTATAATTGTGATGGTTGGTGAATGAAACTTCATTATTTAATTATTACTAGGACCCAGAACATGGTAACCTGAAAATATAAACAAATTACACGAAAAAAATGATTATTTTATTTGAAAAAAAGAAATAAAATTCATCAATGCTTTCAAAAACTGATTTTAAAAAAATAACAATAAATTAATAATGTAATTAACAAATATAATTCTATGAACCTTTTATCTTCCTTAAAATAAATATTTTATCTTTTGCTTGTTTTCTATTTTTGTACTAATTAAACTGTAAAAAGGAAGTTAAATTAAAATTAGGTATTCAGACAAATAAATATTAAATTTTGTACATTTAACGCCACATGTGAGAGCATATTGTGCTTTAAGTTGAGGCAAGCTGAAAATGTACTGTATGCACTGGTGCTTCCTCAACCCATCTCTTCCCCATCTATTCCATCAGTATTTGTGTACTGCTCGTCATTATGTATGTACAATGTATAGGCCAGATTTTAAACAAAGAAAATGTAAATAAACCTACAAATAGTAGGACAATGCATAAAATACACCATAATTAATAAAAAAATAATACTGAAAAAATGCCTAGTGAATTGTGTACTATTGAATTCTGCATGATTAAGTCAAATTTCTATAAAGACTAGGATTGAATGTAAACATTATAAAAAAAGATGTAAATGCATCACATTCTGGGCCCTAGTTAATACTTGATGTTTAATATAATTTTTTTTTTATAATACATGTTCTGAACTAAACATTAATATTTTTAATGCTTTTAATTAATTTAGTTTTCAGTAACTACCTAATAATAATATTGTAATTATTGATATTTGTACATTTACCCTTTAGGGTGTTTATATTAATATATTAGTAATAATATATTATATTATTACATATTATTATATTATATTATAATATAATATATTAATATATAATAATTAATAAAAAAATTATATGGTTTAATATATATGTTATAAAATATTATGTGGATTATTTCATTTTTGTTGTGTTGATAATTCTAAACAAGGTTTGTGGCATGCGTAATCACATGCATATTAAAAAAAAAATTAAAATGACACCACTGTCTATACATTAGTGTTGTTGAATAAACAAAGAAAGAAAATATGAAAAACCAATTACAAAATTCAAAAATACATCTTCTTAAGTTTTCAGGGAAATAGTAATTTGCCAAAAGAAGTATTGAATCTACGCCCAAAGAAAATATGATAGATAAAACATTTCAGAATTATAATAAAAGTTGAGTGTATCCAAAAAACCTAAACATATATGAGAATTAAGTACCTATAATTAGGCTTGCCATTCGCCCCCCAGTTTTAAGAGCATGTCCCAGCCGGTCATTCAATTTGTTAATAAAAGTTCTCAACGTATGAATGAAAATACAGTACGAGACCTGATGGTGTAAAATTAATTTTGGTTTAACTTGAAACAAATTTTAAAAAAAAATTAATAATGATACTACTCTGTTGAAGAAAATTAATTTTTGTTTATTCAGACTTTTTCAGAGAAAACAGTAATATGGACTTGTCTGGATCAATCAATTCTAGGCATTAAGTCCCATTAGTCTTGAATATAATATATACCTATCTATGGTTTTTCCTTTTCAACAATTTTGAAAAATGGACATCTTGTAGATAAGTAAATTTTTAAACAGACAAAATTATTTATATAAATCATTCATAATAATTTAAATTAAGTTTTCATACAAAATAAATAACACAAATTAAATTAAAATTACCAGTATATTTATTGAACTTTTTATCTTCAACATCAAATTGTATTTCATGTTTTTCAGTTAAATGTTGACGAAAGTCTCTAATGTACTTGAATGTTAATAAACATTCAGGTTCATTGCATTTAGTTTTGCCAGTTACAACTTGGTGTTCTGGGCGTAATTTACATTTTTTTATGTGTCTGTAATAACCACCTTTAGACTTAAATCGTTTTTCACATCCGCATTTAAATCGTTCAATTTTCTGATCCTTATAAGTACTTTGGTTATGATTAACAGATTGCGTTTCACATTTTATATTTGATAGTTGTAATAAATCTTCTTTTACTGGATAATTAACATCAAGATTATACTGGTTTTGAACATATTTACAAACACTTACATGTTTGCGAACTAGAGATTTGTTTTTATAAGCTTGACCACAAACACAAAAATAAGTAAAATGTTCGTTTTTAGACATTAAAATAAATAAGAATTTATGGTATGATTAAACATTAAATGGTATTTTATTATATTCTATAAAAAAACTTTTAATATATTCTTTCAAATATTCTTGTTTTTAATATTTAACTATACATAATATTATGTTCTTCTAAGGTGATAAGCTATTGTCTGGAAATGATAAGATTATGGCGTTGGGTGAATGAATGTCGAATGGGAAATTAGCTCTTGTTCCATAAACAAAATGTTCTAAAAAGCTTGGTTCCACATTTTTTGAAACAATAAACCATTGGAATAAGTATTTTGAGGAAAATGGTCATTGGAAGAAATATATTTTAGAATATGTATGAATTGGAAAATATAAGGTATGTTTCAAGGAAATAATATTATTGAAATAAATATCATTGAAATACAGTCTCAAGAGAACTAATAAATATTGTAACATTGGTGTTTTAGTCTACATTTTTCAAAATCACAAAATTAAAGTTGTTCCAAATCATCGCCGTCCGTTGTAAAAGACAGAATAGAAATTAAATTTGTAAGTAGGACTTTTTTAAATTTTTTTTATCGAACATAAGATATTTATAATTAACTAGCAAACTATGATTTACTTTTGTTAGATAATAGTATACCTAAATAATAATAATAGTAGGGGAGCGTGTAAAACAACCGAAAATAAATCAGCCGAACAGTATTTCTGCAGAAAAATATTTTGGCTGAACTGTATTTATTATTTAAGCCGAAAAATATTTGGGCCGATAGTATTTTATCCGAAAATATTACAGGCAACTGTAATAATGAAATAAGGTCAGATCATAGATATCTGTCGGTTAGATCTTCCAAATTTTAAAATAAAAAACAAGTTAACCAGATGCCCCAGGCAACCCACTTTTATGTTTTTTGAATTTTTATTTAATGAAGTTAATTGGAAAGTATATTAGTTTAGTTATTATAATAAATCCAACATGTGTAAGTGGATGTTTACCCACATTTGAATAAATTAAATACTTACAAATGGTTAAAATAAAAATAATAGGTAATAATTTTAAACTCAATTAAATAGACACAAACCACCATAAAATGTCTACAATTTTTCGGTCAGCCAGTTAGTGTCGTTTTTTGTGGCTCAAGTGCTCTTTGGAGAACATTTGTTTCAGTGAAATAAACTTGCATCACGTTGACAGTTTTCAAGATGTATTGCAAGGTGCAGGACAGAAGGCTTGTGTATAAAAAAACTAAAAATACGTTAGATAACTTCGTTGCTACTGATGTATCTAGCAATCCAGATCTGGATAGCTAGCCGGCAATTATCGGTTGACCGGTTTTCTGTGTTGAGGATTTATAGCTCCAGTTATGTATAGCGATTTGGTTGGTTTTAAAATTTAGTTGTCAATTTTAAAATATAATTGACATGTTATACATGTCAACAGTTTACTCCTATTGATTAAGAAGTCTCAATCACGTAATTATCGATAACCAGCATGGCTTCTATCCCGGTAAGTCTACCACATCTAGTGGCGTAGTTTTTTTCCACTATCATTTTAGATTTTCTTAAAGCCGGGTCTCAAGTCAATTTGGTCTTAATTGATTTTTCGAAAGCTTTCGACATCGTTGGTCATAGACTTTTCATTAAAGTTCTTGACAATTCTCTCCTTTCCTGGATTTCATCATATCTTAATGGTAGAAAACAATTCGTCTCCGTTAATAGTATTTCATTCGCTCTGTCTTTCATTTCCTCTGGTGTCCCGCAGGGTTTTAATTTCAGTCCACTTCTTTTCATTTTGTTCTTAAACTCCCTCAATGACAACCTAACTACTGCCAAGGCCCTTATATTTGTCGATGACATTAAGTTATTTATCAGAGTTAATTCTCCGCCTTCGTCTTCAATCCGACCTTGATTCTTTCTGTACTTACGTTAACAGGGTCAACTATTGTCTTAAAATCGGAAAAAAGTGCCACATTATGTCATTCACCAGAGGCTTTTCACCCATCTCCTACCACTATTCTCTTAACAGCTCCTTATTTAAGCGCGTCACTCTTGTAAAAGATTTAGATATCTATTTCACACCCAATTTGTCATTTGAGCACCATATTAATTTTATCATTTACCGAGCTCTAGGAGTTCTGAGTTTTTTCAAGTGAAACACCTTAGACTTTTCTTCTTACCTGTCTCCGTGCACTTTACTCATCACTTATTTGGCCAACATTTGAATATGACTTAGTAGTTTAGCATCCCCACTTCGCAAGCAACCAGCTTCGCATTGAGCGCATGCAAATTAAGTTTCTGTCAATCGCTGTCTACCGGCTAAAAATGTATCATACCGAATAAAATTATTCAATTATCCGTTCTATCCTTAACCTACCTACTCTTCATTCTCACCGTATTAAGGCTGATGTCTCCTTCACCTCTTCTCTTCTCGACGAGGCCATCAATGCCCCAGATGTACTGTCAACCATCGATTTCCGGGTCCCCACCTACTCCACCAGAACCCATCCCTTGTTCCACTTTCCTCAACACCGCACCTCTTCTAAGTTTAATAATTCCTTCCGCCACGCTTTTCGTCTACTCAATACTGCTTAGTCCGGTCCCTTTTCACTTTTTCTTCTAGGTTTAAATTACCCTTCTGCTATTATCTGTCACACTTCCCGCCTAGTACTAATTAGTAGTTAGTCTAAGGTCTTCATGTATCAAATTGTCAGTATTGGCGTTATAATTAATAAACAAAATAAAATAAATAAAATAATCATCATAAGTATTATATATTTTCTTTAATAATATTGTACGTATTTTCCCATGTTTTTCCTATTTTTCGGGAAAACTTCTGGGAAAATTAAAAAACGACCTCCTTAAGGTACCACCCGAGCAGATTTCTTTTCAGAAAAAGTATTACCATTGTAAATCGGAGAAAAATTGGAGGTAGAAAAGTTATCCACAGAAAATAAAATACACATCATTGTAAAACCAATACATTCCTCGCTCCACTCAGAATCTAAAATAATGCGTGTCCTTTAATGTGAAGTAGTAGTAAACGGAGATGAAAACATTCCGTATTATTAGGGTGCATTGTGTAAGTTTGACCAATAGCATCAGAAGCCTTAATACTGAATAATTTGGTACAGATAATCCACGGACTCGTTTTTTGACTCTTGTTATTACCATTACATGTACAATGTGTACAATTTTAGATTTGATTAATTTATTATTATTGATGTTAAATTTAAAACTTCTAAACAATTTTCGAGTACGACTACTGTTACATTGTATAACAATTATTTTAAAAGTGCTTGAAAACAGCCTTATTCGCTGCGACCACGGTTCGAGAAGAACAATGCTATTTGTTATTGTGTGACCAGGCCCGTAACCAGACCAAATCATCAGGTGGAGCGAACCCAATTTTACGGGGGACCGTTTTTGGGGGGCAACGATTAGGTTTAGGGGGAATACTCCCTTGCCCTCCCGTGGTTACGGGTCTATGTGACGTACTAAAAATACTAACAATTATGAATAATATAAAAATAAACAGCGTACTACAGTTTTTGGGATTTCAAAATACATATTTTTAAATGTATTTTAAATATATTTTTTTAATATATTTATAAATATATCAATAATAATTTTCTCTACAAAAATTAGAGTCGAAGAAATTTCTAACACACCTGAAAACATAATATTTAAATTAACCAAGCTCATTGTCATGAATATGATCAGAGAGTCAAGTCTCAGAAAAACATATACAAATGCAATTGAAAAAAGAAGATTTACACATAAAAGTATTCAGTTTTATTTTAAGACCTCTAAACTTTGTTAATACCCAATGGGTTTTCATTTGGGCATCATTTGGTTCAGAGGTACTAAAGTTGAGGAAAAGTTTACGCAGGAGACTGGCGTACGTTTTGACTTCGATTCTCACTTAGGTTTTTTGAACGCGAATGTACAACGGAAGTAACTTCATTAATAAAGCTAATACTGAGATCAGTTTCCTCAGTTTAAGTACGGCAATCCAATACCTGTGTTAAGTAGGCCTCTCCTTATCAACGAAATCGAACAGGACCAATTTCAAGTTAAATATTTTCATTTGTAAGTATTTATAAGTTGATATTCGAAATTTTTAACTTAAGTCCTCTCTCCCTGGCAAATTTTTAAAAATTTACCCCAGCCCCCTCCCTATATCAACCAAATTGAACTGGACCGATTTGAAGTTAAATATTTTTATTTTTGAGTGTTTATAAGTTAGTTTTCGGAATTTGTATGTCAAGTCCCTCCCGCCGTCGAATTTTCAAAAATTGGAGCTATGTGTGTATCTCAGTAAAACCGAAATACAAATCTAGAAAAAAATATAATCTTCTGTTATTTCGTTCTAAAGAGAAGCCAATTTCCAATCAATACATCAAACTTTTCTTCGTAACTTTGTTGAAATATATGTATTGTATAATATATCTGTGTATAAAAGTGTAGAGAAACGTATAGATAAGAATGTATACTGTATAATGAGAGATTTCTACTGATACTAAAATATAACGAGAGCACAAATTATTTTATTTTTTTTCTTATCAATAGTTGAAGAATAGTCTGCGGTCCTCCCATACACCCCAGAATAAAACGGAGTTGCTGGGAGATTGAATAAAACAATAATGGAAAAAGCAAGGTGATATAAACATGATATACATTGACATGTATGATGAGCGGAATCTACTAATTTTGACTATCGATTGTTTTGAAATCTATCGAATAAATTATTTGATAATTTTTATTCAGTAGTAGCACCGACTGGTTTTAATTATTGATAGATTAAAAAACAACCTGGTGTTTTTGACTCAATAATTTAAAAACAACCAAGTACTTTTTCAACTGAATATATATTATCAATAGAATGAACTACTCGATAGTCGGATAGTTTTCTTTCGTTAGTATTGGCACCGACTGATTTACAAAACAACCGAGTGATTTTAACTATCAATAATATAAAAACAACTGATTACTTTTTCAACTGAATAGATATTATCAACAGAATGAACCACTCGATAGTTGGTAGCCGATTGTGTCGATAGTCGATAACTATTTAAAAATAGATAGTTTGAAACTATCGAGTAGTTCGATAGTTTTCACTCGGTGGTGCCCATCACTATCAAATGCCTATTATAACGGCTTGCCCCGCAAACTCATTGTCGTACCCAAGCGGGTACCGGGTACAATTACGTCACATAGTCCAATTATATAAATATCACTAATAATTTATTACGAATAAAATATAAGTAAATAATAAACCAATGTTTTGATATTTGTATTTTTCGACCTATAAATAGATTTTATTTTATTATTATTTAAACCAGAGATCTTTGTGGGCTCAAGCCCTATTTATCTGAGGATTCTATTTACTTCCATGATGATGTATCAATTAAATTTAAACAAGGAAATGCGGGGAGAATCAGTTACAACAGTAACATACTTAATTAATCCAAGTCTAACAATATAGCACTAGAAAGAGTTACCTCAGCCAAACTATATGATACAGAACCAAGATCAATGTTGAACATCTTAGAATTTTCGGTTCAGATGCATTTTTACACATTCCAACAGAAAAGAGAACTAAAGTGAACAACAAATGGTTGGAAAATGGCACACAACGGGTATGGAATATGTTATGAACTGTTAGAGAAATTCAATGTGATCAACTGCAAACCAAATGTCAATGATATGCATCACCTAGCTCCAATTTTTGAAATTTCTCCAGCGTAAAGGGACTTGACTAATAAATTCTGAAAACTAACCTACAAATGCCTACTTAAAAATAAAGATTTTTAACTTACAATCGGTTGGGTTCAATTTTGTTTATATAAGGGGGGAGGGGGTGGCTGGGTTGAATTTTTGAACATTCGCCAACGAGAGAGGGGGGGTTGGATTACAAATTCCAAAAATCAACTTACAAATGAAGGTATTTGACTTAAAATCGGTCCTATTCGATTTAGTTAATATAGCACATCACTTTTATTACGTTTTTTTTAATTTCTGGATCGCTATACATCTTCAGAATGTTTTGATGAATTTTTTTTTTGTAATAATTTCTAATAGATTATGGTAGTGTGATGTCAAATAAACAATATTTCAAATTCCGAATTATTGGTTTTTAAAAACGAATCACAGTTTTGAATTTATCATTAAGTATTTACACTACATTTTAAGATAAAAATACTAATGTTAGCGATTAGTAGTGTGTTTATTGTTATTAGTGATCATGGCTGCGTCTAGTTAAATCAAATTATATTGTGTTTATACATTTTTTAAAGAAGAAGTAAAATTAGTCAAAAGGGGTGAAAATGCATATGAAAGTGAGCATGTGAAGGAATGTATTTTTGTGGATAATAATTTAAAAGGTGTAGTTAAAGCTAGTATGAGAGATCAAATATACTCTACATACAAGTAAATCAATTAATAATAATATATATTTATGTATAGTAAATATATTTAAGTATTATAGCTGTATGCCCGTATTGATGAATAAATAACTTCAATATATTAACATTAATATAGTTGCATTAATCATAAATACTATTACTTATTAATATTTATCCATAGCCATGATGTTTTCGAAATTTTAAAAAGTATTTTACACAAGTCTGTTAAACAATATGAAAAAATTTAATGAAGAAATAATTTTATATAAATGTTATAGTTGGTCAAAAAAAGTTCCTCCGCCTCTTTTGACCACAAAACCAATTAATGCGAGATATCCTATTCCTAAAAATAAAAAAAAATGTCTATACTATAGCTACTTTTGATAGCAATGTAAAATCTGATGTATTTTCTACACTAAGCCACCATATTCATAGTATTGGTTTAATATGGTTTCTTTCTCTTGAACCATTATTAACACCATTTATTGAAATAAAAGATATTATTAGATCTTCAGAATTTGAGAATGCTACACATAGAAAACAGTTTTTACTAAGTAAATTTAATGTGCCTTCACACTATATTGTGTCATCCATAATCTAGAACGTAGTATTAAAATTCCAGTGTTTTGATTGACTGAACATTGTGGTCATCTAATTAGTTTACCATGATATCCGGCATTACCAGAAAGTTGAAAAAAATTCAACTTTTCCATCGTGCAATAACAGTGGTTTAATTGTTATCAACTACCTTCTAAACAAGGTTTTCTTCAAAAGATTAATAATAATTAGTTTTATAAATTATAATATAAATTGTTGAAAATGTCTTCATTTGTTCAAGTATGATTATTATATTATTGTTTATGTAATTATGTATGCACTATTCAATGTAATAATTAACTATAGCCTAGAATTATTGAATTCTTTCTGTATAATAAAAAACAAAATGGTATTCTAGACCATTGTTCGTTAGCATACAAATATTTAAATATCATTGTTATTATTATTTAATGTATTCTTGAACAATTTAAATATCTATTTGGTGAATTTTCAAATTTTAATTTTTTATTAATTACTTGAAGGTATAAATATTTTGTATTGTATAGAAATCACTCTGTAAATTATGTAAAGTGTTTATTATTAAAAACCAACATCTGCTTGAATTTAAAAACAAGTAATGGTATTTTTGTATTTTATTCTGTTTGAAATGTTGAACTTGTATATTTTAAACTAATATTATTTATTATAAACTATTATCATCATCAACTATATTATCTATACATAGGCCACCACATACTATACTAAAATGATAAAATAAGGTTACAATCGATGGATACCATTCAACCAAGATCACGTGATGAAAAAATCAATACGATGAATTTATGGATAACACGATATAGTGTTATGACACCTTTAGAATGACGAACGAATTAAAAAGTTTTGCTTCAGAAACCATTGGACATTTAAATGTTAACAATAAATTCATTGTGGTTAATTAAAAGAAGGTTTAGAATTACAATTTTGGACTAATATTAAATACGATTGAATGTAATAGATACCCACAATCTCTTTTCAAAAAGCTTATTGAAAAGTATGGTACGTTAGATGGCATAAAAGCTATGTAATCGGGTAGAGAAATTGAAAAACACGGAATAGAAGAATTTGAATAAGTAACTGAAAAAATAAGAATAATAAATCACATTATATTTTATGATGAATGTAGTTTTGTAAGAATCAACAAGAATCATAAATACTATGCACAAATCTAAAGACAACTTTGTATCATAAAAAGACAATTTTTTTATTTAATTACATAGACAATTAAGGATTTGGTTATAATTAAAGTTTCCAAACATAAACAACGAGTTGAAAATATTGATAAAAATAAACACTTTTTTTAAGGAGTTTATAAATTGTTATTATTTGTAAAAATTATTATTAAAAATTATTTGTTAAAATAATGCTTTTTGATTTACATTTATTATTACAATGTGTATTTTGTTAACTTATTTTAATCAAAGCATTGTCAACTGTTATCTAGAGAAACTAAATCAATAAAAAAACTAGGCAGTTTAATTTTAAATTAAAAATGTTGAGTCAACCGTTTAAATAGATACGTAATTTATCAATTGTTAAAATAAATCAATATTCGCTGTTTTTATTAAAAAAAAGAACGTTAAATTAAAATAAAAAATACAAATACCGTACACCGTTACTTATACATGGAAACTTCATAACATAAATGCAATTTTCACAAAAACTTTTAAACTGCCCAATTTTCATAGAGAAATCGGTTTATTTGGAATCAGACATCCTTATCACCAATTGATTATATTATCATGATCAAGGCGCTTATAGTACATGGTGAGCCCATTTCGACTGTTATCACACATTTTCCTTTTTTTCTTTTCAAAGAAAATTAAAATGGACGTCGTAGTTACCCAGTGTTGCCACTAGGACTAATTAATTATTAACCTAACATTTTGATAAACTGTTTTGTATGAGATTAATAAATACATATTAAGACGCCATTCCCGCTAAAATCAAATGACGGATTCCTCAATATAATAATATAATATAAAATAAATAGAAACAATTATATTAACAATTTGTAAACAAAAACATCATGATTATTCTATTTTATTCTATTCTATTATTCTATCACACACTCTCCTATGCATTTTTTATCTCCTATGTACTTTCTATAAAACAAAACAAATAAAAATATAACTTCTTAATAAAAAATAGTTATTAATTTAATAAGAATTAATAACAAAATTGTTTCTTTTTTTCTAGTACCTAGTCGTTTCTGTAAATACCTCATTTTATACATAAAATTACATACAGTTTAATTAAAATAAGAATAACCACTAGAAATACAATACAATTAATATTATAATAATGTTAATTTAACTAAATAAATAAAAGTATTTATAGGTAACAGCTATTTTATAAATTATTTGAGCTGCTGTCAAGTTTTATCGGGTAGTATATAGGAGAAAGTAAGGTACAGCAGGAAGGACGTGGAAGGTGGAAAATACATTTACGATACTGAGAGAATAAGAAGGAAACGGGATAACTTAATTGATATACAGGAACAGGTAAAAATGTCTAGACATTAGTTTTTACATGGCTCTACGGCTTCGCTCCCTGGCCACAGGTACTCCTTAACAGGATACAGAATTCTGGGAGTTCGGCTCAAGAGACTTTTTCGTGTTTCATGAGTTGTCTATAATTTTATTTTATTTTATTCTGTGTTTGAATTAAATTGTGTAATTTATAATATTTTATTAAAATGCCGAAAAAACACTATTTGGTTTATTTGGTTTTTATCCAAGAATTTATAGATCCACTTAGTAATAACTTGGATTGTTTGCTTTTAACATTCTTCAAAAAAGTAATCGTATAAGAATTGCACAAATTAAATAAATAATAAAGTATATATTTATGTAAAACAGCCAATAAGTGTACAAAAAAACACATTTTTAATACCTATCAAAATATATTTTCTTTAGCAAAAGTCATAATAATGTTCATTTTGTAATTTTTAATAAACTATAAAACACCAGTGTTTGAAGACAAACTTGAATGGGTATAACATATAAACATGGGTTGATAGTAAAAGATTATATAATTGACCAGAAAAATAAAAATGTATTAGGAAACATACAAAATCTAAAAAAAGGGGGCACCGGGTAGATGGCCAGAACTGACGAGACCTGACGGACGTGGGTACCTGGATGGGTGGTTGATATGTGGGTTCACTCCAGACAGCGCGTGGATCACAATGGCGGAGATAGAGCGCGTTTTATAATATGGAGACAAATGGGTATGGTGACGTCGCCCGCGAGCATGAGCATACAGAATAAACTCCGCCAACACAATAGAATATTTCACCAATAGGGTAGCAAGCGGCCGGTAGCGAATACCGTATACGGTCGTGACATGGCGAGAGTTTATCGCAAACTGGTGCGATGCACGAACGTGCACTTCGGATACAACATAGTTAGGCAACGAAGGTAAAGTAGTATATTATTTTTTAAAGGATATAAATTCGGTTAAAAAGTTGTAATATGAAATAAAACTATTACACCAATTAAAACAATTATCGATAAAAGATGTAAAAGATTATAAATAAGTACCTAGGTAATAACCCATAGATTTAACAATACAACAATAAGTTTTTAATATTAAATTGGCTTAATTCTGATTAATTATAATAAAGCCACCAAAGGGAGTATGACTATCTTGTTTTACCAATATTTGTAAAATATATTTGTGATATTCATCAGTTTATCAAAATGTACGGTTAATAATTGACTAGTTCTTATGGTTACAATGGATAACCTCAGGACATACATTTAAAAAAGTAATCTAAATTAAAATTTAATGATCGAACGTGACCGCGGTCGGATATCACCGTACGTAGTTGTACGGGCAACTATCCCAAAATCGGTGTTACGCATACCGTACGACGATGTGATCACAGTCGATCCATGTCTGATATAATAAGTACCTTGATCATGACGTCATATAAACAATACTCTATACAATAATATTGGAAAAAAATCAGTTTTCATAGACACAAGCCAGCATGCTGTTGATCACATTGAGACAAATATCCTTCTTTCTGTAGTATCCAGGTTCCTTATAGCTGTGAATAAAATATTTAAAATATTATGTAAGTATAGTTTGTAAACTATAACTACTTATTATTTAGTTATTTAGTATTATTATTTATAATATATTTTCTTATAAAATATATAGGTATTTTATGGTCGGGAGTAGCTATTTTTAATAACATTATGCATAGCGCCGTTACGATTATACAAAATGAAAAAAAACTGTTAGAACAGAACGTTCTCAAGATTTTTTATTGAAGGGATGTATTAAAAAGTGAGCTGTGAGTGCTAAGTTCCTACTCACTCTTTCTTGTATAAAAACAATTTACATTCAATTCCAAAATATTATGTTTTTTACTAATATATTAAATTTAAAAAAAAAATTATATACATTTTTCTAAATTTTACTGAATTTTACTTATTAATAATTTATATCAACATAAAATACCTACCATAGAGTAAAATCTATACTACATATGAACGCAGCTGAATGCCGATTTTAGAATAAAAACAGTGATAACAAAGATATTAATCTATTACTGTGGTTTGTAATCTGTATAACAATCATGTGGAAAATGATAAAGAGTCAAAAACAAATTTATTCATTACAAGTTACAATTAATATTTATTTTTTTCAAGGTGGATTAATAAGGTGTAATCACTTTCAAACGCCCGCCTAAGATAAATTGAAAACATTACTGCAGTTAAAATTACCACTGGGTTCGCTGCCTACCCAATGGAGGACCAGAAATATTATTAACTGTATGTATTTTAATAGGAAAATGATTAAAATAATGGAAATTTTCTATTTTTAAATTCTGAATGTAGCGAAGAGTGCATCGGTTTTACTAAGATGTATATTTTTTTTTTATACTATATAAAAATTTTACCAGAAATTTTGCACAAATATATACCCAAGATAGTACGTTTGGGAGATAATTTTTTTCTTTCCTAAGTGGTTTTCCTAATATCTGGAAAAACCAGAATAAAACGCAAGAAAAACTGTGAAATTTATGAAAATAATGCTTTTAACGGAAAACTTATATTTGCCTTTTCTAATCGGTCACGCGTTTTATTACTGCATGTGTGTTTTTCACCTACCTATCAATAGTTTATTATTAACATTTATTATTAATATTATTTTTAACATGCGGTAAAATCGACACGCGACTGTTTTCTAAATATCGCGTGATAATTTTACGGCGCAACATTCATGAATTATGCTCTATTCATTTTAACAAAACGCGCCGAAAATTTACGGTGCAGTAAAAATGTAGCACGGTAAATTAACGCCAGTGTGTTTCCAGCCTAAGAGTTCAGAGTATAAATTGTTATTGAACTAAAAACAACCTCCTGCTCCTGTAGTCATAATCACGATTTTAAGATAATAATATCGTATTCATACTAATATAATATTATTATTGGATTATTTAAGTTCTTAACCCAACTAATGTGATTATTGCGATAACATATACAAGAAGAGAAACTTAAAATAAATAAATAATTTGAGGAAATAATATTTTAATCTTATAATTGTCATAATATGTTATGTTAAACAATATATTATATTCTTTCTCAATTTAAGATAATTCAACAATTTTTACTGTCGGATTATCAGAGTAAGGGAGGGGGACAAAATGATACCTTTGCTCCACACAAAATTGCCAGGAGGCGAATACCCCTCACAATTACGCCACTGATTATTGTCAACAACTATGGTAAAAATTATGGTGAATAACAATTATATAATAAAATATAAATGTTTGAGGTGATATTAAGGGCTTTTAAGGATTTAAACAATATAGTTCATTTTATGTGCAGAGAAGTACAATAAAAAAGAATGTGGAATAGGTCACAAGAACTTTCAGTTAAATAGTATAAAATAGTTATGTATAATATTATTCATGAATAATAGAATATAATATAGGTACCTGGTATATTTCAATAGGTAACTGTTGCTTGAACAAGTTGATATGATTATTAATAGGAGGTAGGTTGTACTCGTAATTACTTTTGGTAATAGGTAATAATAATACTTTTGTTAATAATATAATTATATTACTAAAATATATTTTATTATGGTCTAGAATTCTTTTTTTAGTTAGACATTTCGTTATAATATTTTCTACATCAAAAATCATTCTAGTATTTAAATAAAATTGCATAATGCATTTCGTAAATTCTTAATTATGATTCGGCCAACTTTAGACCTAAACCCAATGCCTTCAAATATTACTCCATTTATAACTATACATTACAAATGAAAAAAATGATACATATTTATGATAAGTATGTATAGGGAAACATGCATTATTAAAAATGATTAAGCATACTTATTGACATATACCTGGTTGGTACATATATTATATTATTCGTGAATAATATCATAAATAACTATTTTATAAAATTATATTATGTATTTTATGTATTAATAAATATAGCATAATTTATCTTTATAAGTGTATCATTTTAAACATACTTTTACAATAAAAAAAAGACGGACATACTTTGCACGTGAGTGCAGTGACTTTTGTAGATGCAAAGTTTGAAATGTAGGATACAAACGGAAATTTATTGTATACCTGAAAGGAACGATGAACTATTGCTAACGAAAAAACGATTCTGAGCAGAGTTCAGTTGATAGTGTTGCTTTGTCAACAATATATATGTCATATTATGGTAAAATGATTACAACAATGTGCGTTTCCATGACAACAATGATTATTTAAAAAATATTTAAAAATAACAAAAAATAAATAAAAACGGTTGCCTTATTTTTAATCAAATAAACAAATAAAAGTTAACTAAAATCCTTTATTGCCTCCTTATTATCAGAGAAGCTGTAAGAAATGTTGAGGGGATTAGAGGAGATTTCGGAAGTTATAACCTTCTTAGTCTCCCGCATCCTACGCCTGTGCCCCCATTTCTTCTACAAGGACGTAAGAACGTTAAAGTGAACATAAAAAATAACGTGTCATCTAGATAGTAGAGGTAAGTATTGTTTATATCATTGGCCTACCATTGTTTTATCTTCCGAGAGAAGAGCACGGTCTTAGAAGATCGTGGAATATAGAATACTCCGGTATTAAACAGAAATATAAATACAAATAATAAACATGATAATATTGTTAATTATTATTTTTCAAAATGTGCAATTTGTCTATAATCGGGTAAATAATATATAACCTATATAACTTATTAAAATTAATTTAAGTCGGTTTAAACTGATATTGTAAATGAAATAATACATTTTTAAAAATATTAAATTTTGAACCTACATAAATTTTACCCTGCCATATTACAGTAATACATTTTATTAATACCTACCCATATATATTCTTTTTAGCAAAAATTTAGCTTGCTACTTTTTTAAATTTAATTTTAAAGTAGCGTAATACATTTGAAAAAAAAAGTAACTTCCCGACCACTACTTATATTTATTGAATTTTATAAAGAAGTTACCTTGAATCATATATCGAATAAGTTTCTACCTCGGTCTTCGGCTTACAATATTCTAGTTTTACTGACCACGGGTTTTCTACTTTCTTTGGTAAGGCAACTCGACGGTAGCTTGTCCGTTGTACAGTATTCAAATCCATGATTTCTTTAGGTGCGTTGTAACTAGAAATAATGAAAATGTGCAAAATATTGAGTCTGATACCGATAGCCGATATTGGTACTATCAGTATATCGGATGTCGATTTTTTTATCAAGCCAATAGTAAAACCAATAAAATGTACAATGCAAGTCTCATATCCATTTGTAATGATAGTGGTTATAGCGAGAATGCTATAGAATATAGACATTCCGAACAAACTCCTTATAAACTACGATTTATCACTGCCCACCAGTGGGGCGATATCGCCCCCACTGAGAACCACTGGTCTACAATATAATGAGAACTCACAAATTTCAAACCATCTTTATATGTTTTCCTAATTTATAGAGTACGTTTCGGTGAGAATTTCGTAAATTTGTAAAGTTCTGTTTTTAAGCGCCTAAATTAAAATTCAAATATTGCCTGCGAACTCATTATTTTACCGTAATAGCTTTGTTCATCTTAACGAATACAAGAAACTTGTTGGTAAAAACTGGTACAAATTTCACCTTGAAAATCAAACCGGTTGGAATTTGAAAAATGTTTTGGGGTAATCGGTGTTAAAATTAATGACACCGGTTTAATTTGTTTGCACTATCACGTGCATATGGTGCAAACTAGAGATTATCTAGGCTCTCTAGTGCAAACTATTTACACCGGTTTCATCCCCTCTAATTTCCCTCTCGAAATAATAAACGAACAGATAAATAATAATAATAATTTAATTAATAACAATTAATACCTATTCAAATTAATATTTATTAAGTACTTATTAGCGGGAAATGGGAAGTATAGATAGGCAATACACTAATAATTTAAATAATTGATAGTAGTATTACCATTGTTATTTTTGGACAATGGTGAGAGTGTACATCAATTTCCATCGTCGAATATCTATATACTATGGAAGGTGTATAATGCATATTTGCCATATAATAAAAGGGAGCGGCCTAATAAGCTAACATTGTGATACCGTTTAATTTTATTTACACTATACTCCTTCCATAGTATATAATTCAGTAATCTATACCGATATAAAATAATCGGTACCAAGTGTTAGTAAACCAGTACAACGGTTTGTACCAACGAATTTCTAGATAGTGTACACCAGGGCCTAAAATAAAAAGTAATGTATGGTATGCTTATATGCACTCCCGCTAAAACCACAGATATCATTATACTTATACTTATGCTAAAACACACAATATTGGATAACAATCATGCCGCCTGATAAATCAACCGTCTGCTGCGTCTCCCGCAAACACACATGTCTCCCCTCTACCTACTGCTAACAACTTCCCGCAAAATCTATAAATGTCCACGATATATTTTTCTGCAATAGATTATGTGAATATTTTATTCATGGATTATTAGTCCGTGCTTTTAATTTTAAGCACGATTTAAGATATCTTAAACCGTGATGTTAAGATATTGTCAATATTATAAATGCTATCGATGAATAACAATTTCTTTTCCCTCTATTAAATCCATCGGCCAACAGTAACCTCCAGCAGTCCGACATTATTACCGTATACTCTAATAAAATACCAATTATCATTCTCTCTTTCTCCGTTTGTGTCGTGCATTCGACATTCATTTCGCACAACATTTTTACTGCTCAAGAGCAGCTCTCTGGAGCGTAGATTTTGTATGCTGTTTACAACCATCAACATAGCGGCTTAAACCACGAAAATCTTCTAAGAACCTTCGGCCATACGGTTGTAATAACGAGTTAATTATAAACTATTTTTATTTATAATTTACTATAAGTAGCTCGCTGACCGCTGGCTCACAGCTTGTAAGTATAATAGATACAGAATAATATACGTACCGTTCGTTCGGTTTGTAATTTTCAACAGCTATGATAGCCACCGGTCCGTATGAACAACCCGTGACTGTTTTTGTTTCCATGGGACAGGAATACGTAGACAGATTACCCTTAGGTTTGAATTTTTCTTCGCGTCCCGAAACGCACGGTAGATAAAAACAATCTTGTGTCGTTGTCACGAATGACATGGGGCCTTTGCCCCCGAGACAATGATTTTTGGGAGTGATTTTTTTTACTACGGGCGCGCACTTTCCCAGGTAACTTGTCTGTGGGAACAATTAATAAAGGTTAACGTTTATAATAATAAATAACGCAACACCCGTTGGTATTCTGCGGGTTTTATTAAGCTAAAATCCTATCACGAACTTGTTGAACGGTTTTGTTTTGAAACTCGCCAGCCATGGTGATGTGATCTTTTCGTTTGATTGGTTTTTCTCTTGGCCCACACAAAGGCTGGGCGAAAGAACAGTTGTATATTGTGCTTTTAGCGAAACATTCGTTGCTCACAGATAGGTTCTACACAACGGTAATAATATAAATGAGAGGTGGGCGTTGAAAAGTCCAATAATATACTACACCTCATTCTCAACCTAACACAGATTTATTTGTAAAAAGCCAAAAACGTGCAATATTCTTAAACATACAATCAGGCCCGTACTGGTTACAGAGGGGCGAGGGCGGTAGTATACAAGTATAGTATTAAGGACTTTGTCCTTCAGTTTAAAAATGATTAATACATGTTAAAATTTTCACACAACTAAATGTGAAATCGATCGTCGCACGCAAAAGCCATTAATACGGGTGTGGCGATACCGAAGACGTTTTCACGCAATAACGGATAATACGTGTTGATTGGTCAAGAGGAAAACGTGTTCGGGTACGGACAATGCGCCATCAAGAGCCAACGACGACGACGTCCGCTACCACCTAGGCCCTGACCAAGGTGATAAAACATATTATATACGACGACTAGGAGAACCGAAAAGGAGACTCAATTCAGGACAACGGAGGGTAATCACGTCCACCTCACGACGCCAACCTTTCAATCATTTATACATTATTATTATACCTGGTAATAAAACTAAGTCTGCTGAAGCTATTTGCGAATTATTAATAAAAACTAATTTTAGACTTTGAATACTTGTTTAATTTCCCATCCAAAGGCTGTTTCCGAAAGGCATGTGACAATAATATAGAATATAAGGTAGAACGTAGTTAAGCTATACATGAAATAATAATAGTTTTCTCCAAAATAAATTGGACATAAAGACAAATATTGGTGTTCCAGAGTTAAAATAATAAATTATTATGTTTAATTTTACGAGTAATAGGAGCTCGTGAAGTTAGAATTAGTTTCCAAGATTCAATTTTCTTTGTCGGGCGCAAATTAATATTAAGTCTCACAGAGCGCATAGGGAAACCTCCCAGTGTCCCTGTGGGCCAGTACAGACCTGCCTATAGTATTGAATATTACGTAAAAGCTAGAATATAGTTTTGAAAAATCAATAAAACAAGTATAAAAGAAGGATATATTAATATTTAAAAATATATTGACAGAATACTCCTAGGAAATAGTGACATAATAAAGTACCACTAAAATAGCACTAATAGAGGAATAGATGTACCTATCATATTATACATCATACCTAAACCTACAATACATAATAGAAAAAAAAATAGTAAAAACAATTATTGTACGTAGATACTCACCGGTTTTGGTTTAAAAGGTTCCGGTCGACTCGGTTGAAAGTATGATTTATATTCACGCTGGAAACAGAAAGACCACGGAATTAATGTCATTTTATTAAGCCTTCATGCATAATAATTACCTATATTCCTTTATTAATTTTTAGTTTTAATGTGTACACATTTTTATGAGACGATATTTTTAATAGGAAATATTATACAATTGACAGGTCTAAGAAAACCGATGTAAACGGTAGCGTCTGTCTATCGAGAACCCAAACTTCTATAATATGGTCCCAGCGCCGCGTCCAAATACGCTGCTTTCGTTATTGGGATTATAGCAGCCTTGATAATACGCTGTGGGGGATGCGTCGATTCCAGGAATGGATTGGGACTTAAGAGTTCAGACAGGCCCGGTAAATGTATAATATGCAGCAGCCCACTAGCAGACCCGTATTTCATGAGATAATAGTAGATAACTTATTGCCTTGTTTACACATCGGTTTGTCTATCACCTACCATCTTGCTTTGCGAAGCTTTTTATAAAAAAAATATCGAGGGACCTACCGAAAAAAAAAATCGTCTACACATGACATATATAGTATATATAGTACACAAAATATTTGTTGCTCCAGCGGCCCAATTTAACTAGTTTTAGTACGCGACGCATCGGGAGTTTTCCGATTGCTCGATGGCCCGATCCGTGCGTGGTCAATTCCTGTCCAAACAAATAATTTTAAAAATATCTAACCTTTATTTTGCGTTCCGGAATAGTATTGTATCCGGGCAAACAGCTTTTAGGAAGAGCGTTCCGAATCTTACAGCACTAAAACATAAAATATTATAATAAATAATAAAATAATAATTTTGTCGTTATATCGGCCGGTGTTAAACACGTACCTCTGCGGCGTATTTTATGGAATGAGCCATTTTTGGTAATAAGTTGATGTTCTTGATCGATATATTAACGAGAAAATTATTATTAAAACGTATTCAATATTACGATGAAATAAAAATTAAACAATAATAATATGTAATAATGATTGTAGTATTGTAATAGTAATTATATTAGCGGTTGCCGTGGGTGTTGTTTTCAAAACGGTCGTTTGTTATTTCAGCTGGTATACATAAATATCATAATTTATTTAATTAATTTACGCATAATCGAGCTATTTAATACGGAACATTTAAAACGAATGTTTACAATATTAACTAAGTTAAAAGTAGGTACATAACAATAATTGTTTATTTGTTTAACACAAACATTGAAAAAAGAAAAATAAAAAAAATAAATTTAAGGCTCAAGGAATAAGCAGCATTTAAGACACAATATTATATATTGTAAACTATTTTTATTTATAATTTACCATAAGTAGCTCGCCGACCGCTCGTAAATATAATAAATAATATTATGTACTTACCGTTCGTTCGGTTTGTAATTTTCAACAGAGATGATAACCACCGGTCCGTATGAACAACCTAACCCGTGACTGTTTTTGTTTCCATAGGACACGAATACGTGGACAGATTTTCTTTTGGTTTGAATTTTTTTTCGCGTCCTGAAACACACGGTGGATAAAAACCATTTTCCACGGTGGTTATGAATGACAAATTGGCTTTTCTCGAGGTCCACATAAAGATCGTGCAAAATGTATAGACTATGTTTTTAGCGAAACAGAAATGTTCTACACAATATATAAATTACTGTATTATTAATTATTTATGTGCTATGAATGTTCACATAAACCTTATAATTTTAAGTTTCATCTCCGATGATTTAAAACGTAGATTAAGGCTTAAACTATACGTTAGACTATACAACACATTTGTTGTAATCCGTATGCATTGTGAAAACATATTATTTTAACATGTTGCATATTCGTTACAATAGGCATTGAAGGGTTAAAACGGTTTACAAAATGTTCACTTAACCGATTTAATACTATGGATTTATAAACGGGCAAGTGTTTCAAACCGTTTTAACGCCATCATATAAACATATTAACTGTAACTATATCGGCAAAATCCATGATGAGACTGAGCAATTATTATTGCGCGCGCCCTCCTACATAGTGTGACACGATAGTTTCGTTGTATATGTGAGCGCGGTTATGATCAAACTGTTGCGTAACTATCGCGAGGCTGAAAGTTACCTGTCAGCGACTAGCCTAATGCCTGCCATACACGCTACGGTTTACCTGAGAGGTCTGCCTGCGCAGGTAGGTCGGAGCGTGCGTGGGAATAGACCTGTGCAGTTTTTTCGATTTGTACAGGCGACCGGCGCAAAATCGAAAATCAATTTTTTTTAGTGACATCGTACGGTACACCGGAAAGTCTCCATACACGCTGGTTGAACTGCACAGGTAACCTCTGGTAAACCGTGTGTAACACACACTGTGCGTACATATTGATATTCAATGGAATTAATAAGATTACCGGAAAATACTAAAATAGTACAAACAAGTATTATGGGATTTTATTAATAGAAAATAATATTTGCTCTTGCGGTCAGTGTTGTTTATTTTGTTTTTCGTTTGTTATTATAAATCGCGATTTCTCATGAAATATTGATCATAGGAAAAATGTTTAAGATACTTTTTTTTAGTAAATTACTTGATTTACAAATTATGTGAAACTATTTTTAAAATACTTAAAGTTTAAGAGATATATGAGAAAAACCTATTTTTGTGACCTTTGACCTCGGATACATTTTTTAGCATCTGTAGGATCGACGGAGACTTTTGATATTTCATTTGTAATGATGTACTTGAGGTATGTACCAATTTTCATCTCTTTGTGAATTATTTTGAAGTTAAATGCTTATTTTGACTGAACCATTGTAGCTAGTATAGGTAAAAAACTTCAAATTTAATGCTAGGGGAAAATATTTTGTTAAGTTCTAGTAGATCCGAAATGTCCATACTTTGGTTGTCTTTATTTTGTCATAAACTTTACCAACTTTCATTTTCAATTTTTTAAAAATTATAAATATTTGTAATGCTTTCAGTGTTCTCTTCTTTTTTTGTTTTTATAAATAATGTTGAATGAAGATGTCATAATGAAAAAGCAATACTATTATCTTTTTAAATCTTTCTTTGATAGATTAAATTATTGATTTGAAATATGACACAAAAACTGATACTCAATAATAGTCTTTGGGAGTTTCATATTATGGATAATTGTTTCTGTAAGATTGTTTTTCAGTTACTCTGGGACAAATAATAGTAAAACCTAAATCATTTATTATACATTTTACATCAGTAAATAATTAATCAAAGATTTCATTTTTATTTATTCTATTACATTTTAACATTTCTTATAATTTGTCTAAATGTTTTCAAACTTTATAAAGTTTCATTGATATGCCTTATAAAATATTAGTGAACAATTCTAAGATAGTACTGTATTTTGCAATTATTGTAGTTATAAATGAAAAATTTGAGGTTGAAGAATATAAATAAAGTGCACATTGTCTTGAGTTCAAATTTATAAGACCATTAATAAATAAAAACTGAATTATTGAAATAAAATTTTCAGAAATTGCCTAATACAGTAATACTCTTATTATTTGAAGACCAGCATGTTTCACAGAAAAGTGATATGTTGGGGGTATAAGTTTATTTTCGAAGTGTACTTTTACAATAAAATTTAATAGTTTCTTTAGTTGTAATTTAAGTGATATTACAGATAACCAACATTTTGTTTATATCATTAATAGTTTAATAATATATTACTATATATATATATATATATATATATATTTGGTTTAAATTATTATGTTCTCTCGAAAAAAAAAAAGAACATTTAAATTATAAATTATATAATAATATGTATATATATATAAATAAATGTGTAGATTTTGATCGAATATTATAATAAATTCATTAATCTACTTTACATTAGTACTAAATTTGCTTGAAAAATATCCAAATCGTATTTCACAGTCAAGAGTTGGCTCCAACATTATTAAAGATTCATCCTCCAATCCCTTCATGTCAGCTATAACATATTTGTGTGAATTACATGATAATATCATAAGTTATAACAATAATTATGATTCGTATCTAAAAGAACTGTAGATCATGAAATAAGTGTCACTATAAATTAAATAAATAACAAATATAAAGTAATTATAAATAAAACAGGATTCTGATGAAAGTTCAGTTGAACATATTTCAATTAATTAAAATTTAAAACTATATTAATTGGTAACTACAAAGAAATTTACAATTTTTTTATGGTTTTAACTAATTTTAATGCAAGATACAATAAATTAAAAATAAATAATCCACACAAAAACAACAAAAACTAATCTAATATAGGGGACGGGTGTGACACTGTTGTAAGTAGGAATTTGAAAAGGTAGAATAAATAAAGTTATTTAATTTATATCTGTAAGGAAAGATAAACTAATGCTAATAAAAAACAATTCGGAGCAAAGTTCGGTTATACATGTTTTAAAATGCTGCTATTTACGATTTTCATTAAAATTTCATATTAGCTCTTACAAAAATAAATAAAAATAAAAATATTACATTAAATTATATTTTCAAACATTTCTATTAATTTAAAAATTGTAACCACAAAGTAACTACCAAATAAAAATTATGTAAAAACTTGCAAAATTTAAATGTCTGAAATAGCTCAAATGGTTTGAAAATTTTAACACATTTAAAATGTTTATAATTTTCTTTACGGTTTTCCCAATTATTTTGAAAACCCATTGGAAAATAAAACTCTAATTTTATTTGGCTATTAATAATTTGAAAAATCAACAATGTTGAAAATAACAGAAATCATAGAATACATTTTCCAGTTCTTCCGAAATATTAAATTACAAAAAATGACCTCCAATAATATTTTCTCAAGAAACCACCATTGATGTTGATGATCAAAGTAAAACTTTTTCTAGAAAAATAATTTACAGACAAACCTAAATACCCACATATGTTTACTGCAACTCTCAGGATTTAACAAGAAAAGTTAAGAAAAATTAGTTATCAAAATTGCCTAAAACTTAATTTAGGCTACAGCACATTTTTTATCTACAATTATTTTCTATACAAATAAAAAAAACACAAATGGTAAATAATTCCAGATTTAAAACATTTAAATACTGTCAGTTAATTATTTACATAGATTTTACTTACAAAATATTATGTTATGATTTGAACTAGAAAAAAATGTAGGTCTGCACACATTTTGTATGTGTATCATATTTATACATTTCATTGTCTTGAGCATCTATTTTATTACATAATACAGAAAAATTGGTTAATATTACATAATCAACAAATTTAAAAAAAATATATATTTTTATACCTCTACAACCTCTCTAATATACATAGGCTGTACAAAAGGGGAATATTCTTTTTTTAGTGTTTTTAATAGAATTCCAGGTTTAACAATTATTTTGGATAAAACTGAGTTTAAATACTTTTCCAAGATTTCTTGGCTAATTGTCAAATCCAATCGAATCCATGGACGAATGTTAACTCGATCATATGTTTCTACATTGTTCATGTCCCTAAGTGATAATTTATTTATTAATACAATTATAATTGAAGAAACAATTCAGCATTGATTATCTTTCATTAAATATGTGTAAACTTCTACATACACACTGGTTCCTATCACTAACAAGATCTCACCACCCATGACAGACTATATACCAATTAGAATATTTTATAGACACATTTCATTCAACATTTAAAATTATTATTTCAGTATTATTTGTATTGTAAAAAGTATTTGAATTATTGTTTAGGAATTAGGTAATAAATGTATTTTGTCCAAATATTAAATAATTCTGTTATTAAACTTTGTTTTACAACAAAACAAATTGCAATTATTAAAGATGTTTATACAAAAATGTTTTAATTGTAAAACAGAAGTGTTAAATATTAGACCCTAATTATATGTTTTAAGTAATCAAACCACATTCTTTAAGTGAAGAAAGTATAGGTACTGCTTACTCTTTTGGATATTCTTTGCATAACTTTTTGAGTGGTGGTTCTGTTGTATCTATTTCCTTATATGTCAATCTGAAATTAAAAATTAATAAATTAGTAAAATCATAGAAACAAATTATTACATAGGTAACTTACTTATTGTATAATATATTATTTTCATTTTTAAATCCGACATCATGATTTACGTTAGGGCAATTGACACTAGGTATTTTTATTAACCACAAATCAGTGTACTGATAATGTATGTAAGATGGTACTTCAATACCAGCCCTTAATAAAAGATCACTTTTTATCAAATCATTCAGTGACTTTTCAAGAACATGTAAAGGTAAATTATCAAAGTGTTTCTAAAAAAACAAACAAAACGTTAATTTCTACTAAAGAAATAGCAGTTAATATTGTAAAATTATTATTATATACTTTTATGTCTAACTGTGAAGCACCAAATTGTTCTTTGGTTTTACAAAACTTTAAGATCAGCTTACACAAATCATTCAACTTATTAATATTTTTTAATTGTGGTTCAAATGTTGGCTTTCTGAAAAATAAAATAAAAACATATTATTTAAAAAAAGGTAAGAAAATTATTATAAAACACAAACTTGAAAATATGTTCCAATACTAGATCAATTTCTTCTTCGAAATTTACTATGGACTGTTTTAGTTTACAAATAACCTGATCAAGTAAAAAAAATTTAATTTATTATGATACGTCAAAAAAAAAAAAAAATGTTAATAAAAGTAAAAACTACTATAAAATATGTAATTTATACATTTCTATACAAAAAATAAAACCTTATAATTTTTTAACTGTTTAGTGACAGAAGTTATAATTTTGATATATTCCACTGAGTCATTACTGGTTGAAAGCAAATCAAAATGGCGACTTCTCATTCTAAAAATAAAAATGTTTTAAATTTTATATTATTGTTTCAAGAAAATTTGATAAAATAAATAATCAATAAAAATATGATAATCAATTTTTGCCTTATGGTAAAGATTGTAGAATATAATATAGAAAAAATTATATGAAAAATTGATAATCTACTTTTAATAATAAAATCTTTGCAAAAATTAACAATTACCGTTTTAAAGTGTTTTTTAAACAATGAGATTCTTCATCTAAATTTTCATTGGGCATACATTCTAGGTACTAAAATAATAAATAATCATTTTTTTTTTTTTTTTTTTGATTATTTAATGTAATTTTATATGTAGACATATACATTCATATAAATATTTTTTTAACTAATAAAACAATAATTACACTTACCTTTTTATCAAACTCTATAGAAATATCTACAATATTGGTTAAAGACAAACAAGTAAGTGTCGAGCAAAGACCACATGAAGGATACAATAGCAAAATTTTCTTTTCAAACAGATTTTTTTTTATGTCTGTATAAGCTATAAATGTATCTATATAACGTCCTGTGTCAGTGGTTCCGACCAATGTTGAATAGAATCTGTAATTAAATAATTTAAATATATTTATTATTGATGAGCACAATATTAGAAAACTACATTATAAATTATTTAATGAACACGGTTTACAAACTTTGGACCATAGTCATAAGTTTTGGATTGGATAATATGGGGAGTAGATAATAAAATCTGAAGGGATTCTTTGTGGTACTGACTGCATGTTATTATGTTATTATCTTTGATGGAATTGAAAGATTGTTTCAATACATCGTCTGGATACTGCTTGAAAACTTGTAAGTAGGTCAATGAAATTTTGGGATCATTACTTTTATTACTTAACGAGCTCTAAAATATTAATAAATTCTCAAATATATTTAAAATAAAATTATCACTAAAAGATTGACTACTCACATGTATTAGTGAACTAATAACAGACATGACTACTTCCTTTGCAGTAAACATATAATTGATCTCTTGAACAAGGTCATGTTGAAAACCATGTTGATCATAGTAATTGTATTCCAAATCTTGATTATCTACAGCAAAAATACTACTAGTACTGTCAATTTCTTGTTTTACATCTAATGGCTGAATAAATGGAATGTTCTTTTTTCCATCCCTTACACAACGAGTGTCAATTGTGGAACCACGCTCACGCAATAATGTGATAAATGTTTTAATATTTAAAACAATTAGATCTCGCATGGCTTTGTATTTTTTAGCTTTGTGCAGTTCATGTTGTTTTTCAATATCTGTCTAAATTAAATAAATGGTCGGGAAACTAAATTTTTTTTCAGGTGATATAAAAATTAGTTTATAAATATAAATAACATTTACTTTAAATGTATCTTGAATTTTTTCATCAGTCTTTAACTCATCATATAAAAAATTTACCCTGTTCTCAATAGCAGAATTTCTCATTAAATATCTTATTCGTCTCAAGTAATTGTCAATACTTTTCAAACGGTAGAACTGAAAATGGTATATTTGTTAATACAAATGAATATGACAGTAAATTTAAATTTAATTTAAATAGCTTTAATCATTGTATCAATTTTAGTTACTATAATTATTTTAAATTTTATTATTAATTACTTACCTTTCCAAAAATCGATCTAAATATATCTTTAATACTATAAGAAAGATAAGCATGCGAAGAAACTTGTTTTATAATCATTGTACCTAATTTCCAAAATAAAAGTACTTGATCTTCAACTGTTGTCCACTTAAATCTCCTATTATTTAAAAATGTCAAAATTAGTTAATAATTTGAATTATTTTACCTTGAATACTTACATTTTATGGAATTGATTATTGGTTATTTCACTTTTTGTATTTTCATTTTTTTTACGATTCAAATTTTTTCTTATTCTTTGTAAATATAAAGACTTAGTTTTTTTTTTAGTAGTTGTAGTTATTTTTTTTTTTAAGTTCCAATTTCGAGATAAATGCCTAAAAAAAATGAATAAATCATACTTTATTAAAAATTATTATTTGTTTATAACTAATATGTACATGGTACTAATAGTGAAAATATAAGTTTTTAACACTCTAAATTAAATTTGTTATAATTAATAAACAATTTAAGAAAAAAATCTTGATATGCTTAAGATTTTCAGATTTCTAGATGCGACAAAAGATATATTGTTTAATTAAATATTAAAATAACTATAATAGTTATTAATACAACTTCACTATCAAATTGAACTAAAAGAGATACAATAGAAATATATTAGGATCCTTTACATAGAAATATAAAATAAATTATTATTTAAATATGTGTAAATTATAGACATCTATTATAACAATAAAAACTAAAGAGCTGAAAAAATAATATGATCAAAATTGAAAATAATATTTCAAATTAGAATTGAATAAGCTTTCCTATTTATCTAAATTTTAGAGGACATCACACGTACATTTGTGTTATTTGATTTATAGGGTGTATGATAGTCAAACAAATTTTAGTAATTTTAATATTTATGAGTTTTACATAGACCTTTGACTATATTCAAACTACTTTAACTAATGTAACACGGCCGATTTTCAATAAAAATTGTCTTAAAGAAAAAAATAATTATTAAATTTGAAATCTTATTCAAAATGATTATCATTTAAACATAATATAATATGTAGAATTAATAAAATAAAATTAAAAACTTTTTAGTTTTACAAATTGTTTTCAACATAATTTTTACTAAATAATAAAAATATTATTAAAATTAAAAACTTACGCAAATAAATGACTATCAAATCCTGCAGCTCCTTTGTTATCACCAGGTATTGTTCCATCATCTTGGGCAACTGCTTCTAAAGCACCTCTAGAAGCACAAGATTCTTCTATGGCTATTTTACTTTTTGTTATTATCTCCTGCCGTTTAGGTTTATTCACTGATTTTAAAAGCCTATAACCTAAATCATAAAAATAATTAATATCTACTCATAACAGTATAAATTAAAATTTCTTCAATGTACCTAGTGGTGTATTTGTGCAAAAATACCAAGTATCCATCCAATATGTTTCTAATTCATAATCGCTGAAAAATTCATAAGTTCGTTTTTCATAATCCATATCAGATACTCTATAATAATTAGGAATACTTTTCACAGTATTCAAAAGACTAGCCCGCCTATTTAAATAAGCATAAACCTAAATATATATAAAAAAAAAATTTCATTTAATTAAATTATTAACTGTTTTTTTTTTTTTGTTTTTTATAATATTTACCAATTCTGTATCTTTATATGTCTTGGCACCAAATTGTATTAAACCGATCATGCAAAGTAATCGTAAAACATTCAAGGTACTTTGAATGTGCCTATAAATTTGAAACAAAATTATAATTTGATAATTTAAATAAATTATAAATAGTAAGAATTACTTTTTTAATCCTTGTGACAACATAGTACGCACTTCAGATGATAGTGACATTAGAGGTAAATATTTAAAAACGGGGTGTGTGGCATAATTAACAAGTTTATCCAAATTTACATTAGATTTATTGAAATTTACAATTTTTAACATGATATCTAATGGCATGTGATGGATAATGTCACTCACAAAAAACCAACCATCTGGATATTCTAAAACATTAATAACTTTTTGTAATTATTTTTGTTATAACGAGTAAACATTATTAATTTGTATAAATAATGGGTTCAATTTTTAACATAGTGATATAAACAATAAATTTCCATGTATTAAGAAATTATAATTGTTAATTTAAATAATTAATATAAATATATGTATTAAAATAATAATTGTTATAAACTTATAAAAACTAACTCATTAAGAAATATGTTTAATACTGTGTATATTCCTTTTAAAAGAATTTCAGATTATAAATTTGAATTAAAAATAATAATAATAATAACTAGAGCACAGATTTAAATGCATTTAAAATTCACAAAAAACCTCTAAAAAATTAATTAAAAATATTTAAAAGAGAAATTAAGGTAGAAGAGTTTAAAACTTCTATTATGGTTCCAATTTATTATAAATCATTTTTTAACACTAAGATGGTTATATAAAACTAATTTTTTTCAAATAAATTTTTATGTGTTACAAAAAATAAAATGCTTTTGTCAATCATTTGTCTGTGTTAAAAAAAATGTATTTAATGGGGTAGGAACTGTCAAAGTGGGGACTTTAAAACTTGTCAACCACTTTTGCTTTTTTGATGATTCAAGTCCTTCTTTACATATTTTAAGTGCATTTAAATCTGTGCCCTAATAATAACTAAAATTTTTACTTGGATATTTTGATAAAGGTGGCACAAACATTTTCCAGCCTATAGTTGGATAGTAAACTTTCGGTAATTGAGCTTTATCACCTTGTATTAAATCATTTCGATAGTTTGAAACAGTGTCTTCTGTCATCTTACAAGCATTTATTAAACTTTCCCCAGGGTGATTATAAACTATATAATACAAGTACTCGTGTAGTGATCTCATTTTCATAAATCTAGGAAGCTTAAGCTCCAATATATTCTAAAAATAATAAATAACATATTTTAATGCTCAATTAATAATGAATTTAATAATACTTACAATTTTTGGTTCTGGTGATTTGTATACTGCTAAGTTCCATTTTTTGTAAGCTCTAGTGGTTTTCATTGTGTTGTTAAATCTATTTAAGAAACTATTCATATAGACAATTGTTTCTGGGCTAGCTAAATAAATAGATAAACAAATTTTTTTTTGAAACAAAATTTTTGTATAAATACTTATAATATATAATACTAATCATAATGACAAATTCTTGTTAAAAAAGGTTTTAGCTGTTTAAGAAAACTGAAGTATTAACACTCATCATTAAAAATTAGGATGTTTATAATTTTGGTATGCTTTTTTAGATTGCCCTATAGCTCTCATTCTTGTAAAAAAATGTGTTTCATGATGCCTATATTCAAAATATTAAAAATATATTTTCCATATATTAGGATATTTTATAATTTTTATTTATAAATGTTGATGTTGTGTTTGTATTTTGTTTTAACAATATATTTCACGATTTTAAATAAAAATTTCACACTCTTAAATTATATACAAATTATCACTGTTGAAAATTTAAAACAAACAATCGCAGTCCAATGTAAATCTTTAAGTTAAAATATTTATACTTTTTTATATTTAATTTAATTATTATTAATATTATACTTAGCAGTAAAAGTCCTTAGAGGACTATAAAAACTTGAGAAGAAGAAAAATATGATACTTCATAAAATCATAATAATTATTAATTACTATTAGAATATGCTTCTAACCTATTTTTTTTATACATACTATTTTTAAAATTGACTATGTCCATATTTCTTTAATTTTGAATGCATATTTAGTTGTTTTTTTAAGTGCATACATATTTATACATTTTTTTTCCAGTACAAGAAAATTTTAACCTTATTATCATTGTTAATATTGTATTTATAAATAATGATTTCTATAAACTATTCATATATGATTACATATCAGCAAAAAGTTAATTTGATACCCTTATATTTTTACCATATTTATAGAACATGTTTATATTGCCCTAATGCTTCTTTATATTTGGAAAAAAATTTGAATTTTATTGCTACAAAATAAATGTCATAATTGTCAAATATAAAATAGATAAAAAAAAACTATTTTTCAAATATTTTATTTTATTTGATACGGGAAGAGCTCAAAACACAATGTAATTATATAAATTCAAACTTTAGTAGCACTCAAACTAGCATTATTAAGAAATAGTCTTCACTTCTAGTACGCATTTTTAAATTCCTAAACAAATTATGTATAATGTAGCAAATATGCTATTCATATTCAAGTTATTAATTATAATATTTATAATTTAATATATATGCATTGAATGCTTAGATCTTTGTTTCTGTTAAAAGTGTTAATGTCTAAACTATCTGTTTGATTGAAATTTTATTTTAAATTAAAATTTGAAAATAATAATTTTAGTATTGCTTTCTTATTTTCAAGTATTTTTATTTAATTTTAATTATTTTTTTTTCAATTTACTATTTTAATATTGTTATTTATAACCATTATTACTTAATTATTGGTGTTCATATTGTAATTCTGAAATAGAATAAATGAACCATCAGTAATTTAGAATTATGTATTTATACTTACTAAAATCAACATTAGTATTTCCCACAAATGAATGATTTACAGTTTTTGTTTCATAAGTTACTCGATATTGAACAGATTTAAGTTTGCCCATCTTTTCAAAATGACCAATAATCTTGACTAATGTTTTAATATCAATAGTTCCTATAAATTTTGGGTTTTCTTTTTCGGTGTCTATAATATTCTAAAAAAATACCATTAAACTATAACTATCACTATAAATAATAATAATATACATATTACAGTAATTCATACTTGAATTGTAATTTACATATTTACTTTTTTTATGTTAAGCAAACTAACTATATTTTCTGTAGACAACATACTAAATATAATCTGTTTCCGGAAGTAAAATCTATCAGTCATACTAACAGTTTGACTATAAATAGAAATATACATAAATTAGTACATTATTCATTTTTAAATGAATTTTAAAATATAATAATAAACTTTTGGTTTGTTTTGTTTTTGCTTACTTAGAATGTTCATATACCGATTTGCAGTATTCAAATTCCATAACTCGTGTAATTTTTTGTTCCATATCACATTGTTTATTTTCATCCTATAAATACAAACATAGTTCACCATTCAATTTTGTAAATAAATAATAAATAATGTAAAATTATAATAGAAAAGAAATTATGAAAAAATGTATTAAGTGATGGCAAGTTCAATTTAAATTAAATAAAAATCAAATAAAACTATGTATGATTACTATTAATGAAGCATTTGCATCGAGTTAAAGATTGGGTAACTGACTAGTTTTGATATTAAGATATCAAATTATTACATTATAATGTCTATTACCATTTTTACCAGGCATAATCTGAATATGAACGAGCATAAATAAATTTAAAAATCTATTGATTAAAAAAATTAATTTTCAACTTCATATTATGTATGTTATCAACATTCCTTTTTCTAAAATAGTTGAAATCCAAGAGTGATAAATAAGTTATTAGAGAATAAAACTTTTACTATTTTTTTTTCCTGACAACATAGTTAATGTTTAAAACTTTAAAAAAAATTGTTTTCTTTAAAATTTAACATGTTGACTGTGGACATGTTTTTGAAGTTTTCACTCCACTTTAGAGCATAGTAAATTTTTTAATTAAATTTAATTTTGATACTAAGAAAAGTTTTTATATATATTCAATAACACATAAAACATTTTTTTTCAACTTTGAACCCAAGAACATTCAAGACGCCAAATAACATTATTGAATTTCTTTTAGTTTCTAAATTTCATATTAATTAGAAAATTTACCAACTCTTTTAGATCTTGATATTAATATACCTACCACACAAAAAAAAAAATTAAACCCTTTTATTCCTCATATTGTATATGATAATGGGAAATAATAGACAACTTACTAGTAAAACAGGTTAACATACAAATGTAAAATAATATTTCTACAGCGATAAACAGAACAGATAAAATACTATTGAATATGTATTTTTAAAAATTCTTTTAACTACCTACTCAAAAGGAATACTAAACAATTTACATTAAATGTTTATTGATTGTAAAAAGTGTTCAACATGTTGACGCCAATCAATATGTTAAGTTAAAAGAAAAAATAATCTGTTGTGATTTAATTTGCGAGTTTTTATCTTTCTAATTTTATAAGAACCTAGGTATCAAAAATTTATAAATTACACATACTGGAATATTAATCAATACTGTTTCTGTAGAGTCTTCATTGTTAGGCTCTAAATTATCACGAGTCCTTTCATTTTGATTGGATTCATTAAAACTGCAATCTTTTTCTTCCAATTTAATTTCTTCTTCTGCTTCTGTTTCAATAATCATATTTGTCAAAGAACCATTTATATCAGTTAAATTATTTTCTTCAGTCTTAAGTTCTTCAGTATTTGTTTGAATCAAATTTTCCATTTCTACATCATAATCTTTATATTCTGATTTATAATTATTAGCAATATAACTAAAACAAATTGTATTCATATTTATTTATAATATAATTCAGATTTCATACTAAGGTTTTCTGAAAAAACTCTTAGACAAATCTAAAAATTCATTTATATAATACATGTATGGGTATATGTTGAACCAGAAATAAATTATAACTACTGCATTAAAATTTATTATTTACAAAATTCTATAGTAAAAACAAGAATTATTTTGTTTACGAACTATTATATCTCAAATTTGATTAAAACTATTTTTTTGTTTTTAATAGTTTGATCCAATACTAATACAAATCATCAATATTAAAAATTAATTTTAGCCTAATTCAAGTAATAAATGCAACACACATACACACACACATATATAAAGTTTAAATGATTATTTATTATTATAAACAAATTACCAAAAAACTTTTGCTCGGCCTCGATCACAGTATTTTTTTGTTATATATTTTAAACTTATTAGCTTTTTTAAAACCCCTTCTAAACTACCATCAGTAGTAAATCTGAAATCACGAGACATTTCAGAAAGTGTTACCCCTAAATCACCATGTTTCTCAATCCATCTGAGTATTTGTCGATCAAATGAACAATCCTGTTTAAACTCACGACCTGTACAACACAAAGAAGATTAAATTAATGGTTGATAATTGTTCTTAAGTTTAATTGAATTCATTAATATTAACTACTAGTTAAATAATCATTTATTAAAAAGAAAACAATTTAGAGTGAAGCTCTGGTTAAGTGGTACTAACCCCCCCCCACTTAATGTTGATGATTAAAATAAGATTTTGGTTGTAATTTTGTTAACATAATAACTATATATCATATTAAAACTAATACATTCTTCACTCTGCCCATAATTCAAAATGTAAGGTTTACCTTCAAAAATTATTTTGTTATCCTGTGCTCTATTAGAATTTTCCTTATTGTCACTATATTTTAATTTAATGCATCTTATAACTTTTTCATTTTTAGAATCTTTTTTATATGAATATTCACTTTTAGTTGCATTTGGATACAACTCACGATATTTGAGCATCTAAAATAAGTTATTAAATAGTTTGGTTTTATTAGTTAGTTTTTACATTTTAATAACACTGATAGTTTTAATTGACTTACTAAATTAGTGTCACAATATTTTTTAAGCTGAGGCTGTTTAAATGTTTTTGAAAAACTAATATTACATGCAGCTTTTACTTGATCATAGGAAGCTAATAAATTTGGTTGTAGTTTCAAATAATCTACTATACTAGATACCATTTCATCAATCATAGTTTGCCGTTGAACAAAAAACCGTACTAAACTTGAAATAACAATACGATTAGCTATTTGTGTACTGCTTCCAGAATAAGCAAGTGCCTTTAAACAACAAAAAATATTAATGAAAAATATGAAAAAAAAACAAATAATATTTACCTACAACTATAATGGTTATTCTTATTTCTTACTTGATTTTTTATTAAACCGACATCACTCAATCGATTTCTGACATAAGATAATGCTTTAGAATCAGGAAAAATTAATCTTAATGAATGTGTACCAAAAGATGCTTCTCCTAAGTATCGAGCACGACCAATTCTCTCTAATACCAAATAGTATCGAACTGATATATTTAAGGCACACTGTTTGTCATCTGGTATTAAAACTTTTGTGCGTACATCCTGGTTGGCAACTATGACTAAATGTCTGCCCCATCTAAAAAAAAATAATAAACACTTTGTTTTTCTATGCAAATATTAATAATACAAGAACCTTTTCTCTGCTTCTTCAACAGATATTTTTCTAGGAAATGATCCTAGATTGAATCTGGTAAAATATTCTTTACAAGATCCCATAATTGAACCATCTTCAACAGGGTGGTTTGGGTATATGTCTTTTGGTACAATTTCCTAAAGATTAAATTAAAATAAAAACTGTTGAAATATAAATTATAATAAAAACTTACTGGCTCATATAATGATCCAAATTCACTGTGAACATAGTCGAATCGATTAAATATAATTAATGGATCTCTTGGATTTTCCAATCTATAAAATTCTATATTCTTTAGACAAACTATAAATGACCACACAAGTTTTTTTATTGAGTTGTCCACGGGTTTTAAGGGCCAATCACTATTGTTTGATAATCTCTTAGATAAAGCTACAAAACAACACAATAAGAATCAAACATTTGCTATCCAAATTTAAATTTTACCTTCAATAGTAATTCCATCTAATCCTTCGAGAGCTATTTCATCTAAAATAATAGAACTAAAATCTTTCTGAAATCGTTGCATTTTTATGGATGTAAAATATATTTAATTAACATCATAACTTATTTTGAGAATTTTTATGTAAGTTGTTAGTTATTATTGGACGCTAGGTATATGTTTATAAATTATTACATTCATCTTAAAGAAAATTGTTAATAACCAAGCAGAAAGATTTAAGATTTTAAAATAATAGATAGGCTACTGTTATAAAATGTTAATGGCAAGGTTTAGAACATTCAGCATTTCGGTCTATTATTATTTATCCTTATCATTATTTGTCCTTATCATTTTCTAACAACTATACCACGTCTTAGAAGACCGTGGATATAACTATACTCTATGATTTCACCGCTATTAGGCGCCTGCCTTGGCCCAGTATTTTCATATAATATATTAATCTCTGGTAAAGATACGAAATAAATAAATACTTGCTGGCCATTTTGCCGTTTGTGATTTTTATGAATTTAGTATTATCAGTTAAAATAGTAAATACTGATTATTCGTGTGTCCTTAGTTGTAATTACTCGTTTATTCATTCCTCAATTTTTCTCTTCATTCATTCCTTCTGTTTCCGACAGTCATCTTACACAATGCTATAGGAGACATGGAGAAACTTCAAAAAACTAACGAATTATTAAAATATATGGTAACAGTAATAAAGATAATAAAGGTTTTCAAATTATACCTATACAAATTAATATAATATTTACTATCCATTCCAGTGAATTTTGGGTCATATTAGGATACAAATAAATCATTATATTAGGTTTAGATTGGTGAAAAAAAATTGCACACCTCCTTATTTTATTTTTCATGATCAGTATGTCTTCAAACAACTAATTTTTATTGTGGAAGATTTGTTTCGATTTATATTTTGGCTTTTTTCTTAAATTAATAATCTTAAAAATTATTTTTAGTTCATTTAATGTAACAAAAACGAGGCCAAGAGGAAGACCTCGCCAGAGATGGCTTTACAGGGTAAAGAAGGATATTTTAAATACTGACAACTCAAAACGATTAGATGACGCAATGGACCGGAATGGATGGAAAAACTTGGTGGAAGCATGCAAAAGACCTTAAAGGCCTATATAGCATAATAAAAAAAAAAAATGTAACAAATTATAATATATGTAGTACCTAAATTTTTTTTTTTTTTTTTTTTTATGATAAAGTAACCATTCAACACAAAAAATTTGATAATTTTTCTGTTGGGAGATTATGGAAGCAAAAAATTATCCTTCCATAAGCCAAATTATTGATTTTTTTTATTTTATAAGTGTATAGTATATTGTTAAATCTACAAATGAAAACGACCTACTTTATCATATATTTCATGGTACATTACTGTCTGTTGACACAAAAGTATAATTGAACCTATGATTTTTTTTTGACTCTTATTATCTGTCTATATTTATAAAATTGTTTTTGTTTTAGCAAATCTAATTTAATTTGAATGTCATTTGTGATGATTCACCATTGTGTTTTCTCCTCAAAAGAATTGATTGTTAAAAACATATACATTATAATGTTGCCCAAAATTTAAGTAATTACTGTTGTCTACTATAAATTATCTTAGTAATGATATATATTATAGACTATTTTATTTTCTTTGAGGTCCAGTTAAAATTGGTACTTCTAACCCAATATTGTGTAACTAGTATTAGGTAGTAGTACTACTATATAATTATATATATGTACAAATTCAAATACATATTTAGGAGGCTCAAAATAAAAAAAAAACTTGCAAAGATATTGTATTCATTTATTTTCTTTTTTTTCTCTTTTTCAAAAATTGTGATTATTTTATAAATCACTAATAGTTTTGGAATCTGTTCAAAATATTGTGTCTGATCAAATTGCTTTGACTTCAAATGTGCAAATCAATGTATATACCCCCTCTATATGAAACTATATGTATACTATAATATTAATTAGTAAAAGATGATTATAATGTGTATTTGTTTAAAAACAAAATGCTTAATAAATATTATTGAATATTTTTTAATTTTTGCAGCAAGAAAACTTACTATGAAACCAAGAAAATTGTCTACTCTTTTGAAACGGGTAGAGGAATACCCATTAATTTTTGTACGGAACTAATGGATAACATCCTGCCGTCCCACATTAAATGTGAGGTCAAGAATTGGTAAATTTACCCCAATATGGAGTCATAGCTTTCCATACAGCTGATCCAAATGAGTCACCTAACCTGTTATAGCTTATTGGTTGTCTCTCCACTCCCAAGGAATAAATAACAAAACCCGAATCAGTGAATCATAATAATTGTATATATTTGTAAATTTGAAATATTTAGAATTATTACCTAGTTAGGTTAGGTGAACACTCTTAACAAAAATTATTTTTAATATTCTGTAATATTGTTTTGGATATTTTAATGATTTTAAATGTATGAATGAATATTTATTTTATACAGTTTTAAACTTTAAGCACATACTTTATTCTGTTAAAAATTTATGCAATCAAATAGGTATATAAAAACTATTATACATGTATTAATTCAACTAATTGATAAGAAAAGTTAATTAAATTGTGATAGCTTGACTGTCTAATATTTTACTATTTTAGTACCACAGTACTCATTTTTTTCAAATGCTTAGTATTATTTTAAAAATAACTATATTTCTATAATAAATGTTTATGTGACAATTACATAATACATACAAAGTATGTAATATTTTATATTATTTTTTTATGAATTTCAGTTTTTTCTTATTCCTATTTTATACCGGCTTTACTTGAGAATACAACTATTATTAATGATTAAAAATGGGTAATTGTTAGTGATCTGCATGCAGTTTACTGGTGTCCTAAGTGGTCTACCATCATTTTCATAATCTATAAGTTTGTGTACTAACCATAAAGATCTCCAACAATATAAAAACAATTATATCACTATTATATCAGCAAAATTAAATTATAATTAATAACCATCATGATTTATCTAAATTAATTTAGATTATTCTAAATGGTATAAAAGTAATCTTTTCTGAGTAATAAATTTAGTAATGTCATTGATTATAAATAAAAGTATAGGTAACAGCTATTTTAAAAATTATATCAGCTACTGTCAAGTTTTGTCAGGTAGTATATAGGAGAAAGTAAAGTACAGCAGGAAGGAAAATACATTTAGGATACTGAGAGATTAAGAATACGGGATAACTTAATTGATATACAAGAACTGGTAAAATGTCTAGACATGGCTCCACGGCTTTGCTCCCTGGCCCCAGGTACTCCTTTACAGGATATAGAATTTTGGGAATTCAGCTCAAGAGACTTTTTCGTGTTTCGTGAGTTGTTTGATTTTATTTTATTCTGTGTTTGAATTAAATTGTGTAATTCATAATATTTTACTATAATGCCGAAAAAACAAAATGTAACACTATTTCGTTGATCTGGCTTTTATCCAAGAATTTATAGATCCAATTAGTAATAACTTGGATTGTTTGCTTTAACATTTTCAATTCTTCAAAAAAGTAACCGTAAACAAATTTTACAAATGTACTCGATTTGTTGTGAAAAACATAAATACAATAAGATTACATTATCTATGGTATAAATCGTGTTTATTACTGTCTGGTTTAATCACAGACATATTAAGATATCTTAATATGTTTTTGGGTTTATTATAAACATAGTTTATAATAAAGAAAATAAAATTTATATACTCACTGACAAATGTGAATGAGATAGTTGTTATCGTTATCATTTTTAAAATATTTAATTATTTAGTATTTACACGTGGTTGATTAAAAAGTATATAAATATTATTAATTGTTGAAGTTGGAAGAATAATAAGTAAGTATTAATTATTACTAATAAAAATTTATAAATTTTTGTTTTTTTAACATTTGCTATTGTTATATTCTTTTGATGTCTGGCCAAATTTAACTTTTTAATCGAATTTAGATGAATTTCTCGGTAATATAGAATAAATGAAAAAACAAGTTGCGATTTCTGTTAAAACCGAACTATGGTTCGTTTTAAACGTTGTTTGTCTTATGTCTATGTTGTAAAGTTTATTTATTTACTGTATTGGGTTTTTAAGTATATATGTGTTGTGTATTTTTCAATCAATGAAAACAGTAACAATGACTCACCTTAGTGATATAAATTAGATAATATTTTTAAATTTGAAATTCCCTGATTTATTATTCATTACTGTAACTCATAGCCATACTTCATACTATGGAGTTCATAGTATATATGCTTGTGACCACTGTTGAATTCACATCCCCTTTCTATCTATGTAAAGCCCCTAGTAAATTATTATTATTGAACTGAAAATGTCCAAAAGATATTAAAAACTGAATAAATGTATATTTATTTATTATTAATTAATTTAAAATAATGCAAATCTTTTAATCTTACTAAATATTTTTCTTCTTTTTTCATATAGTACCTTAAATACTACAATTCTTTTATAATTCTATAGTCTAACTATTTTATAATCTAAAACTAATACACAATTTGTTAGAAAGTAACAATTTTTAATTATCAAATATCAAATTACATTTAAAATTGCATAAATATATTGATTATTAGTTCTGGCTAACCCAAATAGTTGGGATGAAGGCAAAGGAGAAGAAGATGGAGTATTAATTCAAATAAATTAATTATCATATGTCCAAAAATCGTAACAAACTAATAACAACCCAATTTGACTTCTAAACACATATTACAATAATAAACAATTTTTTTAGTTCTTAAAACATCTTCTCAAAAACTGAATATGTATCTTAAATTATAAATTTAATGAGTATTCATTTTAATTTCAATAAACATTCTTCTTGCATTAACCTGTTATTAATATTGTATATTTAATTTATGGATTTATTTTTAGGTAAAAATGGCTAAAACAAACTCTGGTACGAAGGCTCCTCGGACCCAAGGGTTCAACCGATCAGCTCACAGTATGAACCCTGAGCGTAAAACAGAAAATCTTAAAGGTGTGGCAAAAGTAAGAACAAAAGCCACCATTAAAAGATTGCAAATGTATAGAAATTTCAAGGCTAAGCGTGATAGAAAAGGTAAAATCATTCATGCAGCTCCGTTTCAAGGTTGGTTACCATGTGGTACTCAAGCTCGTGTAGAACCTAATAGAAAATGGTTTGACAATACTAGAGTTATTGGACAAAATGCTTTACAGAAATTTCAAGAAGAATTAGGTAAAGCTGTTAAAAATCCATATGATATTATTATGAAACCTACCAATTTACCAATAACACTTTTAAATGAAAAAAAAAAACATGACCGTGTACATATTCTTGAGACACAAAGTTTTGAAAGTGTCTTTGGTTCAAAAAAAACCCGTAAACGTCCAAATATTTATGTGAGAGACGAACAGCAATTATCAGAGACTGTTAATTCTATTAATGAATCATATTCAGATGACAAAGATTTAGATTTGGTAAGGGAAGATACTGGAGAAAAAACTGCTCCCAGAGATTGGATAATGGCTGCTGGTCAAAGTAGACGTATATGGAATGAATTATATAAAGTAATTGACTCATCTGATGTTGTTATAATGGTATTGGATGTTAGGGATCCTCCAGGCACACGCTGTGCTCATATTGAGAACTTTTTGAAAAAAGAAAAACCCCATAAACATTTAATATTTATATTGAACAAAGTTGATCTTGTACCTGTTTGGGTTACCCAAAGATGGGTTGCCATTCTTAGTTCTGAATATCCAACAGTAGCATTTCATGCTTCATTAACTCATCCTTTTGGAAAAGGTGCTGTGATTAATTTACTACGGCAGTTCACCAAACTACATTCAGAACGTAAACAAATAAGTGTTGGTTTTATTGGATATCCAAATGTCGGCAAAAGTTCAGTTATTAATTCTTTACGGTCTAAAAAAGTTTGTAAAGTAGCTCCTATTGCTGGTGAAACCAAAGTATGGCAGTACATAACATTAATGAGAAGAATTTTTCTCATTGATTGTCCAGGAGTAGTTTATGATGCAACTAATACCGAAACAGATACAGAGAAAGTATTAAAAGGTGTTGTAAGAGTTGAACTTGTACCTGATCCAGAACAATATATTCCAAATTTAATGGAAAGAGTCAGAGCTGATCATTTATCCAAAACATATGGAATAGAAAGTTGGGAAGATAGCGAAGACTTTCTATCGCAATTAGGAGCTAAAACTGGAAAATTATTAAAAGGCGGTGAAGCAGACCTTGCCTTATGTGCTAGAATGGTATTAAATGATTGGCAGAGAGGTAAAATTCCTTATTATAAACCTCCTCCAGGCTTTGAAGAACCCCAGACTGTTAATGAACAAGAACAAGAACCAATTACCAAAAGACCTGATTTAAATGTTGTTGAAGAAAATGATTCTGATGAAGAAACAGTAAATACTACTTCACCTACTGGAGAAAATGAAAACGATACTTCAACTGATAGTGATGAAGAAGAAGAAAAGAAGAAAGAAAAACAAGCAAAACTACAAGAAGCACATGAGGCTTATATGAGTAGTCTAACAAGCAAACAAAAACGAAGCTTAATGTTACGAAATAAAAGAAAGAAAATTGGCAGTGACTTTTATGAAGTTACAAATGTTAAAAATCGAAATAGAGATCGTAAAGTACCGAAAAATACTTAAATATATGTTTGTACTACTAATATTTACATTTCTATATTTACTTTAAAGAGTATCTATTGTTATCAAATTACAAATCGCAAAATTGAAAATAATAATACCATTATTTTAATAAAATTTCTTATTATCCCTGCATTTTTTTCTGGTTTTGCTCAATTATCAAAAAAAGACCTTACAGAACATCAAACATTTATTTTTTTCCTTCCAACTAGATCCAAAATTCAATAAAAAATGTCTGGTCATTTTTCGGTTGAAGTACGATTTCTGGTAGAAAAGTTGATTAGGAAAATCATTTTTACATAAATAGTTCTATTAAAATATTTTAAGTTATAAATATTAACTGAACAAATTAAACAATTACAGTACTCTTTAATAGTCTAATCTAATTTTAATTTCTGAGTGGAACAAGTTTGGTGTTACAATGTTTTTTTTTTTTTTTTTACTATTATTTTTACCTTGGACTTTTTTTACCAGTAATTTTGCACTGATTTATGATAGCACTTTTCTGAAAGAAAATTGGGCTGTGGAGGTCATTTTTTGATTTTCCCAAGAGTTTTGCCAATAAACGGAAAAAAACTTAAGAAAATAGGCACAATATTAAGCAAATATTATTAAAGAAGATATTTAATACATATGTAATTATTTTACCACATACCTATATATTGTTGACAAAGCAACACTATCAACCGAACTCTGCTCAGAATTATTGTTTTGTTATAGAAGGTTTGTCGTGTATAACAGAATTGTACCGAGCCTTCTTTTATTCTGAGGCAGAACTCTAGCAATGCACACACAATCTGGGTGGTGGGGGTAACAAACTCCCATTTTTTTAAATTAGGTTGTGAGCAAAACAAGAAATAATATTTTTAGCCACAAGTATATAATTCTGAATTCCTTATATTATAGTAAACAAATCAATTTGATATTTACAAATTTATTAGGTGGTTCAAAATAATAATTTATGATGCTAAAAAATAATTTAAAACAATTTTTATTCATAATGGAATTTTCCTTGCTTTTGTGTCAGCATATTTGTCAATAACTTCTTCATAATCCAATTTATTAGTGATTTATGTTTCTATTAATAGTATGACCATTCTTAATAATCCCTCCTGAACCAATGTAGATCTTAAGTATGTTTTTATCAATTTAAGTTTACTGAAACTCCTTTCACATGAAGCTTTAGTGATGGGCATTAGGAGATAAATCCTTATTGTAATTTCAATATTAGAATATGATACTTTAAGCTTATTATCATGAATCATTTTTAATAAATCCAAAAATTTTACTGATTCAATACTAAGAAAAATTGATAAAACTGCATGTTTAATAAAAATTTTAATTTCTTCAACTATTTCCTTAGTATTTATATCTTCATTATATTTTAGTCTTAGATCAGCAACTGCTTTTTTGTAAATTGTGAGAATTCATATAAGTTAATGAATGACCGGAAAGAAATTCAAAACATTTGATATTTCCATAACTTTTTTATACAGTCATGTCATCTGAGTAAGAAGAATATCGATTCTATTATGTATATAAATATAGAGTATTAAGTATATTGAGTGTATAATGGCAATTAGAATATTTTGTTCTGCAGAAATATTTACATTATATTTACATACATATTAACAACATCTGTTTCATAAAGTTCTAGTCTTCCTTTTTTTTGTTATAATTTATTTAAAAATATTTGTAGAAATTTGAAATTTATATTTGCCTTTTAAAACATTTGAGTCATTTTTGAGCTATTTATAGACATTTTAATTTTGCAAGGTTTTTACATACATTTTATTCGGTAGGTATCCCTATAAACTTAACAGAAATTAATGGAAATTGAACAAGAAGTTCATTATAAGACGGTACTTTGTGGTAAAATTTAATGATAATTTGAATATTCAATTTTGGATGAGCAATATAAATCATACACAAAAATATAATAAAATTGCTGCTGATGGAGACGGAAATAGCCACTGTTTTAGAAAGATGATAAATAATGATTATAAATAAATATATATATATTTATGAAGTTATTTAATTAATAATTGTAACTAACAATAAACCATTGATAATAAAAAACGATTCGGACCTAGGTTCGGTTATACATGTTATGAAATGATTTTAACTGTTATAAAAAACAAAATAATAATACTAAATTAAACTGAATGTTTTTTAAACACTTAGTACGACTTATAATGAAATAATTTATCTCTCCTCTCCCAACTTAATAACATGATGAGCAAAAAAAGAAAGTCATTACGCTTGATAAGCAAACAAATCATCAAAAATAAAAAAGCCGCCTGTCACCGCTACCTACAACGTACTGTAATTACGACCTTGCTCGTAATCTTTATCGATACCTAATCCAGTCATTATTTATTTTAAATTCAGAGCATAGCGAGAGGAGTGTATTGGATTTACTATGATTGTATATTAATTTTTTTTCGTTTATTCATATCCAAGATAGTTTTCGTAATACTTGGGAAAACCAACAAATTATAATTGATTAAAATTTATGGCAACATAATGTCTCGGTTTCATTATTTGAATATATTAAACTTGTTTTTTCTACCAGAAATATTATTCCACATGAAAAATTACGAGAGATCGATTTTGTTCCTTTTAACACATAGCCACCGAAACAGAAAGTATTTTTTGATATTTAAAGTATTTTTCATGATTAGGAAAACCCAAAAAAGACGAAATGTACGATTTCATTATTTTAAATTTTTACTGATTATATTTTCTACTATAATTTTTTTGTTGTTCTGTGTACAAAAATTCTACCAGAAATATTGCTCTGATATATATGACATAAACTCTTCTCTGAAAGGAAACTTTTTTGGGGTGGTACTAAAAAGAGGTAATTTTTTGATTTTCCTATTAATAGAGAAAAACGCAAGAAAATCGGGAAATTTACGAAAATATTAGAAACTTTAATTTTGTGAATTTTTAACATAATTATTATTAGATACTTCGGTAGGTAATCTGTAGTAAATTAGTTAAATTTAACAGAATAGCTTGAAAAATTAACAGGAAATTCATCAAGTCTCACTTTGTAGTCAAAAAAACAATTTGAGTTTAATGTAGTATTTTTTTTTTTTCTTGTAAAGGAATTTTGTCAAATTCTGACGAAAATGGTTCGAGTAAAAAATTATGAAGAACAAATCTAATTTTACAATTTTTATTTTGAACATGTCTATATTGCCGATTTAATAATGATAGTAAAGTAAGAATTGAGCGGATTAAGTTTCGAAATTATAGCTTTTTGAAGTTCTGATATAGATATTATTATACTATATTAAATTGTCTTCTTTAAAGTAAATTTGTCGTAGTCTAATAGTTATAGATATTTAAAGTAATCTTAATAAGTAGTTAAAGTCTTAAAAAGTAATAAAGATCACGAGTTTAATCCAGGATTTCGAAAAAAATGTTTTGCATTAATTTTTTTCCATTTACAGGAAAAAAACAAATACATTTTAGGTGTACCTAGAGACCCAGCTATTTCTCGCTCGAACTATTTTAATCGAAAAGTACCCTTTGATTTGTTATGCAAAGTTTTCTACCACGAAAAACTGTTCTGATTTTTAAGTGTAATAATTTTTCTGAAATAAATCTGGGAAGGTACTTTAGGGAGATAATTTTTTGATTTTCCCAAGAATTTTCCGAGTAAATGAGTAAACTAGGAAAAAAACGAGAAAATCGGTAAATATTAAACACATATTATTAAAGAAAATATACAATGCCTATTTAAACATTTTTATTAGTTATAGTTTATCGTTGCGCACAGATATAAATTAAAGTCTCTATTTATATCAGATCTTCCCAACTTCTTATCTACATCATACGCTGATTATATTCATTATCTTAGATCATATGATGTATATGATCTAAGATCATTATTCTCTTTCTTTTGCAGTGGCCAATGATTTAATGATTGGCTGTTCTGTCATAGAATAAATTAAATTCCGTGGTTTTATTTTCTGTTGTTCTGTGTCCTAGCTTTTGGCGGCGATCAAGTGTTATCGTGTAGCCCGCGTCCTCACCGTTGATATGAAGTTGGTACTGTGCATTGGTAACTGTCTATATTGGACACACTGTGGACTCTCATAGGCACGGGACGGATGGCAGTGTCTGCGATCGCACCCGAACAAAACCGACTGTGGTGTGACGAAGGGATTTCTTCTTTTTTTTTTTGTTGTGTTGATTCTTTACGGAAAACTCTCTGCTTGCTTTTTTTCTATCGAAATTTTTCCGCGCTTGTCGCACCTTTTTAACAGACGTGCGTTTGTCTGTTTCGAATCGCATTTCCTGACTCTTCTGTTTTGAACACGGCTGATCGTCACTTAATACTTACCTAAAGTACTTAATACAATAATAGTTTTTAATCTCAAACGAGTCTCGTTATCTTGAAAATTTTCTTTGTTTGCCAGGTGAACGTATGCTGCTGATTTAGATCGCGTTCCGTCAAGAGATTACGTCGTTGTATTGACCAGTCATTGCCACCAGCTCCATCGCTGTCATATCCGTTTTATAGTAAGTAACTATGTTTTTTTTTTCTATTACCATCGATGCTATGTCAAAACATGCGCAATGTGCATTGCGGATTTTAATGTTGTTAATGATGACCATATGTATGCTTAATATTCAGCGTATATCCAACAGATCAATCTTTTGACTACTTGTACATTTCAGTTTTTTACTTTTTGCTTAAGAAGCTACCACCACCTCCTTATTACCCACTTTCTAGTGTTCCTTTGTGCTAGTCTCATCAGTAAAGAAGGCGAATTTACTTTATTGGGTCACATCTTAATACTATTTTATTGTCAAATAAAATCTAATCGTATTTGAGATATGATTTTACTTGCATTTTATAGATAACACTGTACTTGTTCTCTAAAGCATTAGTCATGATTCAGTGTAATTTTTTGTTAAGCGTGATTAAATCACTTCAGTTACCTGTATTTTTCACTTTTATTAGATTTAAAGTTTAATAAATGATAATTGATCACTACTCAATTGTTTTCTTTAAAATTCTAACATAGATACCAGAATAAAATATTTAAAATAGGTAGGTTTTTTCCGAGATTTAGCTATGAATTAAAATGTATTTTATTTTTATCAAATGTATGGGATTAAATGGTAGTCCAATAATTTAATATAGTTTATAGATTTTAAATTAACAGTAAATAATTATCAAAGATACACAAAAAGATAAAGCTAAGACAGAAAATGAGGTTCAACATTATCAATAAAGAGTGTAGCAACATAGTTTGTCAACATTCTGTATTTGGATATTTCAAAGTGACCACAAATTATTTCTTCTATCATGGTTGTAGCTATCAATAAATATCCATACATAAATAACAAAAAAAGAAAGTTTTATCATGTTTAAATAATAATGCAAATAAAATCTTTCGAGTTGAAGGAATCTGAATACAATTTTTTCACGATAACACTTAACATTTATTTTTATTTGATTTTTTTTTTTTACTTTTACTACTATATATGAACCCATCTATTTGGCGTAGTTCAGTTATATTTTAATGTTAAGTCTGTAGTTTTTTCTTTTTATTGTTGTATAATATTAAATAGTTAGGTACTTGAAATTGTCTAATTATCTCGTAATATTAGAAATATATACACAGACTACTGGACGCTAAGTGAATTTATTATTTGGAAGAGTAAACTGATAATGTACTAGTATTTATAACTCAAAATAATGAGATCCAAATCAGAATTTAATATAATTATCTATACTAACTGTAAGTTATTTTAAAAATAGGAATTCTGGGGCTATACATGACAAAATGTATTGAGCAGATTTGTGGCGAATTCAGCTGTCGTTGAAAACTTATAGATTTAAATTCAAGCCGCTATAAAATTTGGCCTCGTATTAAACCACCTTAATATTAATTTCCAGTCAAATTTTTCCAAAAGAACCATAAAATCGCAAACTAGTCTATTTTCATTGGTTTTAATGATACTGGTATTTTGGTTTAGCAAATTTCACAGCATTTTTTATAATCATACAGTATTTTAATACAATATCATTTTAAATAACATTTTATAATGCAATTGTCAAACATTAATTTGATGATATTGTATCTTTTTATATTATCCAACTTTGATAAATGGTTTGACCTAACAGAATCAACATTTCATTAAATGTCTGTGTAGACAAATGTCTGGTTATAATGTATGTAATTCACTGTAAATGTAATAAAATTGGCCTTCTTTTTCGGTCTCTTCCAATGCTGTTAACAGCTTCAATTTCGGCCATACAAAATTTGCCAGTAGTTATGTTTTTGGTGTTTTTATTTATATGGACACTATGAAAATGACTGAATAATGAATATCATAAGTTCATAAGTAAGTGCGAGTACACCTATAGCCAATGTGAATGTTCTCGAGAATCTCTCCGCCACGAGATAGATATAGAAGCTTAGAAATTTTGTTAATAATAAAAATTATGATATGAATAATATAGTTATATTATATTATATGGTAAAATTTCTGTAGAATTATCAACACATTGACGGACATTACTGCTATAGCAGTAATATGTAAATGTCATATTACGTAAATAGTACTGAAGTAGTAATCTTTTCAATGGTATCAAATCATAGTGGTGTGCCACATTATGGCAGTTTACACTGACAATTTACATAGATTCTGGATATAGGTATAACATTACTAATATAACAGTAAAAATTATATTATAAGTATCCGTCAATGAGCTGAACAATTTAATTACATGAAATTTGCTGTGTATAACTAGACATAGCGATAATTGCCCTGTGAAATCCCCTTAATGAATGTTGCTGTGTAGTATGTATAGGTTCAGTCTTAACATTCAATATTTGATACATAAACATCCAAGGTTTTAAGTGACCATACATGTAGATAGTATCACCATCAGCAATTAATATATTACTGATAAGAATTATTATTAAATATTATTTTAGATTTTTTCCTGGGATTTTATATTGTTTTTTCAATAATATATTTATATATCGCTTAATGTCATTGATCTCAAATGCCTATTTATTTTTCTTGGCTCAATTTGTAAGATGAAGTTTACTTTAAGTTTGATAAATAAACAATATTATGAAAGTACCTAGTACTTTATTATTGCAGATATTTTATAGAAATTCAAATAGAATACTTAACTAAAACAGAATAGACTATAAGTTTTGATTAACTATTGTTTAATTTGATTTATGGTTATAATTAATTTTCAATGAACATTTTTATTTAGATTTATTAGTTGAGCATTGATGCTCAACTATCTCTGAGTGCCTAAACATCAAGTGTGAAAAAATGGTTACCGACAGCTGTCCAAACCCACAGAGTGTGGGCCGTGAGTTTGTTCGTCAGTATTATACTATGTTGAACCAATCACCTCATTACTTACACAGGTATTAATTTTATTTAGTCATTTTATAAATAACTAAGTTTAAAAGTTACATTAATATTATCTTAATGTATTATACCTATTATTTAAGTCATTGTTTCTTCTACAATTTTATATATATTAAAAAAAAAAATACCATATAGTTTGTTTTTATTAATTTTGTATTTTTCTATACCTTTTTTCATTTGTTTGCTTGGTGTTGATTTGAATTTATTTAATTTTTACTTTTATTTGAGATTCTAATTAAATTTCTATTGCAAGTATAGTAGGTCTTAATGTAAATAGGTACATTGTACCTATGTATTTTGGTTCTATTTAAAGTACTTCACATCCATATTTGTTTTGATCGGACTATACAAATTCAATTATTGTGATTATTGCTTATCTTGTATAATTGATATAACTGACAAGTGAATTTTAAATACTTTAAATTTTACAAGTTGATTGATTTTTGCTCAGGTAACGTACTAAAAATTGTTTTACCTCTAATAGAACAAATCCTATTTTTTTTTTCTATAGACTTCACGGGACCTTGTTAACATAGATTCCGCCAATAGAGCAAGTCCTAAGTTATTATTATGTTGACCTCTAAAGTTATAACATATGTTTTTCAATGCTTATATCAATATACTATAGTTGAATATTAACTTATAACTTGCATTGAAAGTATGAAAATATTAAATTTGCAAAAATATTTATGTGTAAGTTACAAATAACAAACGTGGGTGTGAGTGATATTTCAAGGTCTAATTTTATTAAAGTAAAATGTCAAGTTAACCATAAACATTTTATAGTAAACTTATTTGTTCACCGTAGTTTAAATAATAAATACAACTATTTTGTTTAAGATATCAAATTTTTTTTTATAGATTCTACAGTAGTGACTCATATTTTGTACATGGTGGCTTGGAACCATATAGCCGGGACATGACTCCCAGCATTGGTCAAAAAGAAATTCATAAACGGGTACAGGAGCTGAATTTCCGTGACTGTCATGCTAAGATACTGCAAGTTGATTCACAGAACACGCTTGGAAATGGGGTTGTAGTCCATGTCACCGGTGAACTATCCAACTGTGGGCAACCAATGCGCCGTTTTGCGCAGACATTTGTTCTGGCTGCTCAATCTCCCAAAAAGTATTATGTTCACAATGACATTTTTCGTTATCAGGTAATTTTTATATCGGATGTATTATATGATAGTTTTTAACAAATAATTTTGATGTATTGTAGGATGTTATGTTAAACGAAGATGATGTGAATGAAGAAGTAGATTCAGGACAGTCAGATGGTGAAGAAAATGGAGAAGTTGAACAAGCTCCACCTGTTCTTCCACAGCCGCAACATCAAGTTAATTACTATAATCCTCAAACTCAAGGACCAACTTTAAATGGAGTTACTACTATGAATGTAATATCCACTTCGGTACCGTTACAACAGTTGCCGCCTGAGCAAATTCCAGTTCAAGTACAACAGCATATAGTGAGTTTCAGTATTATTGCCTTTATTCCAGTATTATTGGCTGGCCTCTTATTATTGAATTCAAAGTAAAACCAATTAGCACTATATTTATCTTCTTCGTTTTTTTTTTTTTTTAATTTCATTTAAAAGTATAATTAATTAAATTATTAAACTATGGCAGGAAATACATAAATAAATGTATAGTAATTAGATATTGTGAAGTTAATAAGAATAACTATAGAATAAAGGTATTAAAATAGAATTACAACTCTATTGCTTTTTCTGACACCATTGAGTCTTAATAATTTTACCACTTTAACTATAGTTAATTGTGTATTTAATCAATTACTGTGATATAAAAAATAGTTTAAAAAAAAATGTTATCTTAAGTATTTTCATAATTCTTTATTCTCATTTTTTACAATCCACATTTTAATTTCACCATCATTTGGTGGAAAAACAATGTGGTTTTGCTTGTGCAACCAAATAATATGTAATTAAAAAAGATTAAAGTCACAGAACAGAACTACAAAAACATAATATCTTATGTTATACAATAGAAATATTATTACCTCAGATTTTGGACCTTATAAACTAATAGACACGTCATACGTTGAATATTTTGATGCTGTCATCGCGTTGCTTGTGACATCACATTTAGGCAATACAGTCAACCACAATATGTCGTAGCTCAATGAATTACCGTCATCGGTGTAATATGTAAACGCGGTATCCTCCAATTTTTTTAAATTTATTTATTATAATAAAAACTGCATTGTACATTTTAATTATATAATATCTCATTGTTAAATATAATTTCTAATTTTTTAAAAAAAATTGAATACACTACGTATACGTTTATGTTGTCTTAAATCGAGTCAGCTTTATAATGCAATCTTATCCTTAAATGTTTGGCAATAATAATGTTTACTAAAGATATTGTATGATTACCCTGAGGATCTTCATCAAACATGATCATGTAAACATTTAAAAACAGATTTGTGCATATTATGAAAACATTCATTTTTAATATTTCTATAATGTTCCCTTTATTTAAATTATCTGTTTTCTCAAATATTATAAATTCAACTTCGGCCAACATATCAAAAATATTGAATAATTCAGGTCATTTTAAGTGGCAGATCATCGTGTGACACTCTGTTTGTCTAATTTTCTATACAAAGATTCAAATTTAAACAAAATAATATAGGCAAATAAAAAATAGTTAAATAATAACTTTAAGTCAACGAAAAAAAACTCACAATTAGTAATAAACTAATAAACCAATATTATAAATTGATAAATGTCCAAACGTGACATATCACGAAAAATATCATGACTACAACAGTGTGGTGCTGTATAAACATAAGGCATATCTATAAATTATAAGTTGAAGACCAAAGTTTAATTCCATTCATAGAGTAATCAAATAAGCATTAATTAGTTGTTAAAATTTGATACTAGCACATCTGTTAGAACTATTCACATAGACCATTAGTAATTGATAATTCAGCTACGAGAATGACAGCCTTATTTGATATTTATGATTAAATAATTGTTAACTGTAATATATTTAGTGTGCATTTTGTATGAAATTCAAAGTTAAAACCCGCATTTAATAGAAGATTCTTTTTCAGACAATTTATCTTTTATGATTCTAACAATGGAAATACTTCTGGATTTACTTCCTAAATAATATAAGAAAGAATATCTACCTACTGATTGTGTTTTTAATGGAAACATAGATAAGACATATTAAAATTTGTATTGAATGTTTTCTAGCCTACTGTTACTGCTCCGATACAAAATCTGGCTCCAACCGTTTTACCCCCTAATAATAATTTAATCAGAAATCAACAGACATATAATCAACACAGCCAAGTTTTAACTGAACAACCTAAAATCCAGCATCAAGAAGAACCTTCTACTATCAACCATCATGTTGATGCAAAAGAAAATCAAGAACTCATTAAAAAGGAAAATATACCGATTACTGAAGGTATGAAAATAATAGTAATTATTAATAGTGAATTATTACTTTAAAATTAAGATAATAGTACAAATAAGTTATTGTTTTAACATGGAGGATTATATATCCAGATCATATTCCATTATTTTTTTTCATACTAGTGTTGGGGGCACCGAATTTCCCTATTAATCTATGCTATTAATATAACATTATTGAAAACTCAGATGTAGACATCGCTAATATATTGATCCTGAGAAATCATACTTTGGATGAATCGACCATATGAGGGCCATCTGTAATAAAAAAGTAAAATAGATACTCAAATAATTAGGGTGAATTCCAATGTCCCGTTAAAGCCTCTACTAGCAAAAAATTTAGCAGCTAAATTTTAAAATTTTGTTAATGCAATATATTGGAATGCTAATTTGCCCTGGCCTTATTAACAGTATTTTTTTTTTTTTTTTTGGTGTTAACATAGTAAACAATAGCAACATAGATCCAATAAGATATAAGATGTCATAAAATATTTTATACTGTAAATTTTCAAGGCCTTAATCTGATTTATAGACTATTCTATATCAGATATATTATTATCTTATATAGTTCTTAGATGTATAAATTTAATTTTTATTAAATATTATTAGTAAGCATATGTCTAAGTAATTCATGATATATAATTTTTGTTTAAGATTGTAGTTTAATATAATTATTAGTTTTTCTGTTATTCTATATCTTTCTGTATAATAATATTTAAATATTGTATTTCAGCTATTTCACCAGGAGATCAACCAAAACCACTATATGCACAATTATTCAAATCTGGTAAGCGATCTACAGAGAGTCACATTGAAGCTCCTCAATTGGTATCAGTTCCAACACAAAATTATTCAGCACCATCTTTACCTAAAGCTACTTCTCCAGTATGATTTTAATCTTTAAAAGTGCATTGATATTTCATTTTTGATGATTAAATTTGTTTTAGGATCAGAATAATGACTATCCAAGCAACTCATTTGCTAATAATCAATATGAACAACGGAATAATGCAAATAGAAACATGAGGAACAACTATAACAGTAGAGGTGGAATGGGTGGAAGAAACAATATGAATGACAGACCGAACAGAAACTCTTTCAACAATCGTGATAATGGTAATAATTTTATCACATTCTGTATTATTTACTGACTATACAAATATTATAATACAAATGTTGTTAAGTCTGTTTTGTAAACCTACATTTTTTAAAATAAAAACCAGTGCATATTTGGTTAATCTATTTTAGATAGAGAATTGGGAAGATTTTTATATTTTAGCTAAGAGCATGGATTTTTTTTATAACGCATATAAAAGTTATACTATGATTTTTTTCAAATGCATATTTATTTATTTTAAATACCAGTTTGCAGTTTTGTGATAACATTTATGGTTTGGTTTACAAGTAATAGTTATTCATAATAAAATATTATTAATACACAGTAACAATGAAAATAATGCGGAGACAATAAAATACAAATTATATAGTGGCATATTACCACCCTACAAAAAAAAAAAAATTAAATTAAGTATAAAAACATTACAATTAGTTGTACATTTAATGTTTATGATTAAAATCAAAATTAAGGCTATTAAAATTACGAAGCATCCCATGTAAGGGTTGGTTATTATCGTAGGATGTACTATGGGCTGTTACTAGGAAGAGGAAGTGATGTCTGGAGAAAAAAAAATGGATACGAAAATTTATATTTGTTAGATCAGGAGCATCTACGGTGCCTCTTAAGAGTAAAGAAATAAATTGCACGTCAATATCCTTTCAGCGGGATGAAAGTAGTGGAATTTTCAATATACTACGAATTAAGAAGTATTCATGTGATGGGTGTGTTATTTTGAGGATCTGGGTTGTGTAGGAAAGAAACCTATTTTGATAACGTTTGAGTCTTAATTTATCTTTGGCCAAGTAAAGATGTCATACTACCACTATTGAACATACCAATGCGAAATACAATGTCAGGAAGTAATGAGCAGAAGAAAAATGAGTGATGTTGTGCTTAATAAGTCCTAAAACTTTTAATACTTTGCCTATGGTTACATTTATGTGATGTTGAAAGTTTAAAGATGGAGTATAATGTATACCAAGATATCAATGGAGAAAAGAACGGTCAAGAGTGGTGCCATTAATAGTTGTGGTGAATAGGAGGTCGCTGTCTAGAGAAAGTCATAATATGACATTTATTTGTATTTAGGCTAAGACCCATAACATGCATCCAGTTTGCAAAAATATCAAGTTTGGATTGTAGTTCAAAACATTGATTATCGATTTTGAGGAAAATTTTTGTGTCATCTACAATTAGAAAAAGTTTAGCCTTTGTGATCCATTTGGTAACCAATTTAAAAAATAGAATAAATAGAAGTGACTTCTTTTCTGCCAGTGAAGTAAGAGAATAACCAAGAAAAAAGGGGATCACCAATTCCTAAAGATTTGAACACCATTATTAGAAGACCATGATCCACTGTGTCAAACGCTTTATTAAAATCTGAAAAGATGACATTAACATTTTAACCTGACCTCCATGTCCTTTTACTTCTGATAAATGGGAAGTGAAGGCAACACTGCTCATTATAGTCGATTTTCGTGACTTAAAACCATGTTGCTCATTTATAATAATCTGATTTACACTACGCTTTATTCTAGAGTATATCATTGATTCAAATAGTTTAGCAAAATGAGGTATTATGGAATATGGTCATATTTTTTTTAATTATGCTTTAATGTGTTTTTAATAAAAAAATTATATTTTATTAATTAATTTTAGGGTATAATAGTGGACCTGTCAATGATACCAGAATGAACAGAGGTGGTAACCAACCTGGGTCTTATAATGGTATGTTCCAGTCTGATGATCAGCAATTGTTTATTGGAAAAATTCCACCAGAGGTCCATGAAAATGACTTAAGAGTAAGTTTTTATAATGAAAATGTAGTACTCAATGAATATTGTTGCTTTACATATTTTTATAACTAGGACTCTGATTTATATGCATTTACATGTTTTTTTAACAGTCTAATAACTAGCTAGTAAGCTACATGTTTGAATTATAGTCAGTCAATCCAAAATACAAAGTTTTATTTTGATGTGTACTACATATGTCTGTATATTACGATTTTTCATTGCATATAAATGGTTTTTAAATGCATATTTTATAATTTTTTGATGTGTGTTGCATATTTCCGTATTATATGATTTTTCATTGCGTTATAATCGAATATCTAAGTGTTTTAAACCCATTTGTTTTACTATTGTTCCTTGGTTTTACCCACATATACCTATGGTTCTTAAAGAATTTGTTTTCATATATCATCTTATCGCTTTTTGATAAAGATAATTCGGTCTCGACTAGTTGTAATCATTATTGTTAATATATTTTGTATGTTTTTAGTGCATATAATTCTGGACCCTATTTATAACATACTAAATACTTATTGATATTATTAATTTTTATACTTCTATTTCATGAAAAATTTTAGGTTATCAAATTATTTTTCTACTATTAATTTGTCAGTGGTTGCATTGATTTTTGTTACCATGTTTGTAACATTGTTAAATGTCACACTCACAGTGAAAAAGCTAATAATATTTCAATGGAACCTTTAATTTAACTAATTTATATTGTAGCCAACAAATATTTTGTCAGAATTGTATTTGAGCCCACAGTATTGTATCTGAACTTTTTCAAGCGAAAAATCCTTACTACAACTACAACTTATGCTAAAACACAACCAGTAATGGTAATTGCATTTGTGGACATGTGTGTTGTTATTATTTATATTGTATACTTTAGGAACCTATGCTATGAATAAGAAATAATATAATTATCGACACTATCAGTTGTAAGTTATAGTAGAGGAGGATTTGTCGGCTGAAATTTAGTTCAGGTTAATTATGTAGTGCCTAATATACAATTCATATCAAATATTGCTGGTAAAATATAGCCCTTCCTCACATCTTATAATAAATATTTTTAATAATTTCAATCAGTAATTCATATTATTATAAATTGGGAATAACTAATTAAAATAAAAATGTAATAAAAACATTTTTTTTTTCTATCTTGCACTTTTATTTGTAAAATAAAAAAAATTAAAACAACATTCATTGTAAAATTAATCTGTAAAATACAATTCATCTTGGTGAAGTTCAAAGTATCTAGGATTGTTTGTACTATAGAACAGAGGATGTGAAATATGCATAAAGTTGAGAGAAGTGCAAAGTGTTTTATTTGATTATAAAATTCCAATGATACATGAATGCAAGCTCTACAAAAATTAGTGAGATCAGTTATGTTGTATGGTTTTTATTATTAGGTAGTAGACAGACAAATGTAGCAGAGATGAGTAGAGCAACAAAAGAGAATAGGTTAAGGTTTGTACCTTATATATAAGGCATGGCTTTGACAGTAGACAAAATAGGAATAGTATGATACATAGTTTGGGCATGTAATAAGGGGGTGAGGAAAGTAATCGGAAGTCGTAAGAATGGTAATGATAATAAAGATGGAATGAGGGAATCCAAAAAAAAAATATGACCACAGCAATATTTTATGATAAATGCTTTTGCAGATAAGAAATTATTACAACAAAAGCACTTGTAAGTAACATGTAAGCGATATTTAATTTTAAGCAACTTATAACCTTCACAACCTCTATTTGTTTATCGACAAAAAGTTTAAAAAATTATTATATTTATTTTCATATATAATGTGTCAGATGAAGGTATTAAATAGTGTCAATTGACAACATAGAAAACCAGTGATTTCTGAAATTAGTAAAAATTTAGCTCACATAGCAAACAATATTGAGTTAATGTAGGAAACTGATAAATTTACTGTTAGAATATAACATAAATGTTAGTGTCGTTATGTGATTCTTAATTGATATATTTTTGTGTTTATTTTAGACCTTGTTCGGTAAGTATGGTAATTTATTGGATGTACGAATAATGAAAGGTGGTAGCAAGACTGGAGATCCGTCCATGAATGGCAATTTTGGTTTTGTCATTTTTGAAAATGTTGAAACGGCACATAAAGTATTAAAAAGTCGAGTGAGTAACAACTCAATTGAGAAAAATATATTCACTATCTATTTTCAAAAAAATTTTTTTAAATATCAATGAATATTTAGCATATTTATGAATAAATTTAATTCTTAAGTTAGTTTTAAACTAAAATGGTATGAGGGTAATTTTTTGATTTTCCAAGCGGTGTTCATAATAATTGGGAAAAATGAGCAAATGTATTTACATGTATAAAAAAAACTTGTTTTTCATTATCAATGGTTTATCGTTGTGTACAAGTATAAATAAAATTACTCTCTATATGCTACCTTCCCAGCTTCTCACTTACAACATTGTGAGAAGTATGACTGTATTTTTTTTTTTATACATATTTAACGTTTAAATCGTTTTTTGAATGCTTCACTTGCAATTTAAAAGTAAATTAAAATGTATTGTTTTACTTATTTGATATTATTTGATAAATTTTGATATTCTGTTTTAATTAGTTAAATACCAGAAAATGTAACTAATGCATTATTTATAATATTTGTTCAGCCTATTTTGTTCCCTGATGAAAATGGCATCAAGTTGAATGTTGAAGAAAAAAAACAAAAGTCCAGATCCTCAATGATGAATTCAGAGCCTAATAATGGTATGGGCCGTGGCACTACCCGTGGAGGTGGAAACAGCCGTGGTGGTTTCACCAGGAACCAGAATGATGTCCAAAGACTCAATTACAGAAGTCAAAATTAATATAAAAATAATATATAAAAAAAAAAAATTAAGTATAATTTTAAAAAGAACTTTAATAATAATTCAAGATGACCAGAAAATCCCTAATAAAGACGCTATTCAGAATTTAAGAAAGACTACAATTTTATACTGTTTTTCTAGATAGCTTCAAATTTTATTTCCCCTGCATTTACACATAATCTTTCCTATTAAAGTATATAACCGTTTTTATAGTGTTTTACTTCAAAATATTAACTTTGTTCAAAATAAATATATTATAAGGTGTGTATTGAATTGCAAACCTAGTCAAGCAAGTTTTTTTCCCACGTGTTTTTAATATATTTTTTCTGTTCACATATTCTTATTGTTTTAATTTAAAAATAAGTCATTTCTTCATTATATTAAAATAATCATTATTTATTTTGTAATAATGTATATTTTAAAACAGAATGATTAAAAAATATTAAAAACCATTTTTATATGTATTCAAATTAAAATATACTTTTTAATCATTCTGTTCGTAAAATTATGTGGATTAGGTTATTGAACCTAATTTAAACTATTTTCAATTATCCTTATTTTTTATTATTATTATTATTATTTTATTTTATTTTTTTTTTTTATTTTTTTTTTTTTTTTTTTTTTTTTTTTTTTTTTTTTTTTTGATAATCTGAAACTTGTAATTTAGTTGTATTTATTTGTACATAAGTGCTGAGTTAAAGCAACAATGCTTAAATACAACGCCCATTTATGTAATTTATATAAGACTAAAAATAGATTATCTGTTTTTTAGTAGGGCTTCCTTGATTTGATATAGGAATTGCAATGAACTTTTTATGATATCAATATAATATGATTTATAAACCTCCCCCCCCCCATTTTTAAAAAATACATTTCTTTTTCTGATTATTATTGTTTTTTTTTTTCTGATTATTTTTGAAAACTGTTGATCATTTTAAAGTAATACAAGTAATAATAAAAACAAAATTTTATTTGTTTGACTTATTATTGGGAACCAATCATTTTCTAAACTATCAATAGTATGTAAATATTATTACTAGAGCAAATGCTTCTGACTGTTGGTTGAAATTATATCAAGATTGTCCTACGAAAATATACCCATTTCCAATAAATTGAGATAAAAAAAAAACCTTTGCCCCCCCCCCTCTCAAAAACTGAAATTATACTAATGAGTGTCCCTGTATGGCTGTAAAACATGGAATGTAGATGAAACTGAAAGAAAAAGAATAAAAGTGTTTGAATTTTGGTGTTGAAAATGTGTACAAAAATATAAGCTGGATGGAATGAAAAAGTAACGGAGATGTACTAGAAATAGTGAGGAACGTTTATTAATGTACTTGATTATTAAAAGCAGATGGAAAATGGTGGGACATACACTAAGACATCCAGAAAAACTAATGCATGAACCAACGAGAAAGATGACCTAGATGACCTTGCAAAACATCAGGAAAATCAAGAAAGATATAGAAGTTGGTGTTAGCTACAGTGCATTAAAAAAAAATAGCGAGTTATCGTGAAGAATGAAGAAAAGAAGTTGTAAATCAACCTATCGGTTGAAAAAAAATTATTCATTAACTTTTTAGTAATACTGTCCATAGCATAGTATAGCAATTTTTAAATTACTTGCTAATTTTAGTTTAGATATGATTAATAAAATTGGTTTTACCTAAAACTTTTCAGGTACCTATCTAGGTAGTAGTTTTTTTTTTAGACTATAATAAATGATCTATATCTTCTGTTTTTACAAAATTATTTTATTCATCAATTCACTATAAATTAATTATTTAATTATTGTTAATTTCGATGGTTTTTGTAATTAAATAACAACGGCATACTTGGACATAAATAGTCATAAATCAATACATAAAGAATACAGTTGACTGGATAATTAACAGTGGTTATTTTAAAAAAAAAGTAGATTTTCCCAAACACTGGTACAGTATACTTTTTTCTAAAAAAAGAACTTAAGGTCTATATATCCACTACTGCCTATTATTCCTTAGTCTATATAAACTTAAGTATCAACCTTTATCTCAATATAATGTTCTCAATAATGACTTTCTTTATACATCATGTATAAGTATTAGAATAATATAAAGTTTTAAGAGACTTGAATTTCTTTTATTGCTATCTTGCACTTTTGATGTTGACTGACAGATTTCAGAAACTTAACATTTTGTTCTGATTCTGATGGGCAGTCTATGAATTTACAATTGGCCGTCATCGTTAGTTTTTAACACTATTATAATGTCTAATCGTAAATATGTAATTACTAATTGTATATCTACTAAACACCAATGACCTTTGCTCCAACATCTATAGGTAGATTACCAGGGTATAGGTACATATAATAATAGTACACTTTTTTTTCGCAATGTTGAAAAAAATGCATGAATCAGCAAAAAATTATTACAAAATACATCTATTAAAAAAAAAAAATTTCTTAAATAAAAAATGTAGAATTTACCCAATTAAATACCTAATTGCGATTACCTATGTGATTATTATAGTCGATTTTTTTATTAAATACTTTGTGAACTAAATATTACAATTAACTATAACTACTACTAATTAATTGTTAGGTATTAAACATATATACTATACTTATGTACGTATATCTATACTATAAGTAACCGAGGATGTGTAATTTATGAAGAGTGATGTCCCTTCTTCATTCAAAGCAAAACAATTTTTAGGGTCGAGTAGAATATATAAACCCCTTTCCCACGCCACGATTTAATTACACAACTAAACTACCTACTAGGTATATGGTTTTTTTGTACACCTACCTATCTATAAATAGGTAGCTATAATATAAAACTATATTAATTTGTAACGCGTTTTAATAATTAAGTATTATCCAAAGGTGCCTGTAATACAATAATTAATATAATTTTTTATCTGTATTTATTATTATAGTATGTATATACGTCCCTGCATAGTAATCAATATAGAGTACACAGAAAACTGAAAGGCGGCAACAATATAACATTATGTCTATCTATATGAATAACAGATGGAACACATTCCCGAATACGAATAATTATGTGCATCGTAGCTCAGAGTGTATTGATGCTTTTGTGAAATAGGTACGTTGTTTTGGTTGTGTTCAGTGTTATTACAGTATCCACGAGGTCTAACAAAGTAAGTGCCTATTAATTTTTATAATGTTACCTATATTACTTAGTCCTAGGTAATATTATTATTATAATTTTATTATACTTATTTATTTCAAAAATCAATTTTATAAATAGTTACACATACTTATTTAAATATCATAATATTAATATTATTAATAATAATATTAATATATATACTGGTGCTCTACTAAAATATTAGAAAAATAGAAAAATACAAATATATTTGACACAGCAATAATAATCGTAAAAATCGAAATAATAAATATTTTTTAATATAAGTGATATAATTTTTGTATTATATATAATACAAAAATGTCACCCTAATAACACTTAGGTAGATACAAACTTTATTTTTTTCATTTTTAGACATTTTTGGTTAAATACCATATATAACCGTATACATATGTGTACACTTTATTTATACCCATGGTTTAATGATTTTAAGACTAGATATTATTTAGCCAAATAGACACTATATATACGATAATATTATGTATCGTAATTAAAATTAAAATTTTACATTCAAGTAATTTTGATAGTTTTTTATTTTTGGAATAGAAGGGAAATTATTGTTTGAAATATAACATTGATGTAATAAAACAATTTGAACAAAAATTGTATTGCCTATAAATATATATTCATTTGAGTTTTTCACTCTTATGATGTTATAGTATTTGCGCAATACCTATACCTACTATAGATAGAGGTATACCTACCTGCCAATTCTGGTTACCTAGTTACTTATTTAGTTATAATATGATTTTTTAAAAAAAAAATGTAGGTAGATATATAATACGAGTAACTATATTACTTATGTTTTAAAAAATTAAAAAGCACATAGAAATAAGAAAAAAAAGTAAACTGCTTTGAATGTAACGGGGAAAAAATAAATCATTTTGAAACTAATAATTCTCCTCCCAGGATTTAAAACAAATACAAAATTATATACTTAATCTTTTTGATATACCCACAGTAAAATTTCCATTAACGATCACCTCTAAAAGACGATCACCTCTGTGTAACCGTCATTTTTTTTGGTTCCGTCAAGTCTAATGCCTCTATTATAGGACACCTCAAAATAACGGTACTTAATTATTTCCGGTCCCTTCGGTGACCATTATATTATGGAAGTTTTACTGTAGTTAGGCTACCTATAGGTACGTATTATTTGTTAAATATTGTGTATTTACAAACATGGACTTTTTGTTATTACAAATTATATATTAAAATTGTATAAATATTATGCATACTTGCAATATTTAAAACTCGCAACATGTAATCTACTTTGGCAGTTTGCTTTTTCATTTTGAGATGCTTTTGATTTTTAGGGACCATAAGTTTTCTTGAAAAAAAAAAATTAAGCGTTTTATTATAGGTACCTAGGTACACGATTTGTAGCGATTCTAATGGGTACCTACAGTTATTTTGAAAAAGTTTAATTTTGTCAACAATAGTATATGAAATGTAGGTATACCTACTTAAGTACAAACTATTGATTCTTAGCTTTTAGGTGGGTAGGTACCATCAATATGTACTTGAATTGGAAAAATAAAAGAGGAACTGTTAGAATTAGATAATTGACAAAACAAGACACTTCCTATAATACTCCTGCAAGCTGAGTGTTTGTTGACATATTTATTTACGATTAACAATAGGTATTCAATTCTAAAAGAAAAAGTACAATATTAAATATATATGAGTTAAAAATGACATGTTTTTTTTTAATTACATCAATATTAACAAAGAAACGTACTATCCATGGGATTATATAATTAAGCCTTACCTATAAAAATAGAACCATGATCTCAAAACATAATATCGAATATTATAGATAAAAATGGTTTAACATTTCTTTGCTTTTTGGTGTAATATTTAAAAATTTAACCTGTAAAGTAGAAATAAAATAATATACGTACTTACGTGTTTAAAATATATTATTTTAATTTATAATAATATCATCTTTACTTTTTCATAATATTTATATGGATACGTAATATAGACACATAGTTTTAGAACATTATTTTTTCAGTTTACTCTTTTACAGCTTTTCTTTTTGTTGCTTCCATAAAAATTCCATTGAATCAATTTTGTTTTTTAGCTTTTGGTATGTCTTTAACGCGGCGTTTATTTTGGTTTAACCTTAGGTTTCTGTATTGCTAGCTTGTGTTCCAATTTTGAAGAATTTGAACTTTGCTGATTAATTAATTTAAAATATTATTTCATTGCTGTGGGGTTTTACAGTTATAATACGAGCAAGTAAAATAGTAATATTTTTAAACTCGGTGGACTTGAATAACTTAAAATTCAATAAAATAAAAACAAATTTACATGATACGATTAATATCAACAGTAATTTTAAGATTATATATCAGAGTTCAAAGTTCAGTTTAGTAAAATATGTTTAGTAGGTAAGACCTTATTGTTCAACACACGTAATTTTTATTAACTACAAATAGTATTATAGTATTATAATTTTGTGCTGTCTAATCATGTACAACAATACATTTTTAAAAAATCAATTACCTACGCGAAAATGTGTTATCAAGTGCGCACCTTCGCTTTCCAGATAGGTAGGTACGCAAAATAATAAGCTTAACTGCACTTTAGAGAGAGTTCCGAGTCTATCGTCCCTTCGTCCTAATAAAAATAATTAGTAAGGGGACATTAGTAACAAAATAAAAATAATAGAGGGACACAGTTCTCCTGTGCCTCTTTTCCTCCACAAATAGAACACTATGGATACTTATAACATATTTTGCGACATTGAGTAATAGGTACCACATCTTACAACCTACTTATTTACTATTATAACCCGATTTTATGACGATAATATAATATCAATAGTGGAATTTGATTCTTATAGATAAAACTACCATAATATTTATTAGATAATAATTATTTTACTCAGCATTTTTCACAATAGACAGAACATAACTAGACAGTTTTTGGTAGTTACCTACCTATATAGGTAAATATCTACAATAATTAAATACAGAATGTTCTATTTAGGCTTGATTATTTTTAGCATTATTTAACTAGGTAGTTGGAACATTTGACTATCTTGTTCCTGCTTGCATACATTTATTACAAAACAAGTACGGTTTTATGTTTCCTGATAATTAAAATTTGGTCTTTCATTGGGCCTATCCAGGGCTGGTTGCACTATATAATATTAACTACTTATAACCTATAACCTACCTACCTACCTTATACATTAAATTGTATGCACTATTTAATACAATGGTACATACAATTACCATTACAATTACATACAATGGTAAATACTATTTAGCTTTAAAAAAAAAAATATTATAGTAAATAATAAGTTGTTTGACTATTTTTTAATAATATTTTCAACCATTTTTATAATTTAAAAACGATTGTACATTATTCTGATAGTAACATTATGCAATATGTAGTATTTGTTAGATATTATTCTGAATTCAGATGAAAAGTTTAAAATATTAAAGATAACTTTTTCCGGTAGGTCACCTCGATAAGCGATATCTAAAACGTTTGTATTAAAATCATGTTCCGGTTAAAAATCTATAGTTAAAAAATATATTTTACATCCGGATGTATAATAAAATATACCAAATAACCGACAAAGATAATATATTAATAATAACGAAAGAAAGTTTTTTTTTCTGTTGATTTAATTGTAGATGACATTCAACCATATTACCTGCCATAACCATAGTGCCATACATTTAATTTAAAGGTCAATATAATTTGTGTTATAATATTATACATATATTACCTATACTACCTACTAACAGTAGGTTATACATACATAGTACATAAATACAATATGTTATACTTAGATGTGTATACCCATACAAAAATAAATTTATCATAACTAGCTATATTAGCGACCAACTTCAGATATTCCAATACTTGCAAATCTTAAATTTCATGTTAAATAACTGGTTTTTATTAAATTATTTAAATTATAGGATATCTGTGTGCTTATTAATATACATTAGTATTAAATGGTATTAATATTGTTTTCTATTAAATTAAATTAAATATTTATCCTTGTAGTTAATTTATTTATTATAATAATAAAGAACAATTATTGATTAAATTGTTTTTTTTTTTTTTTATTTAACATTAACATAATGCTTATTTATCATTTCATTTTTTTAAATAGATAGGTATTTAATTTTTCTTTTAATGTTTTCTTCATGTAATTTTTCAATAAATATTCAAATTACTTGAATTATGGATGTATTTTTTATCTATAGAAATTATTACTAAACCCATTTACTTTTGTTTTTTATTAGAATTTGTTTATTCATGTAATTATATGTTTGTAATTTTAATAGAAAAAAATATATTCAATTCTGTGAATGTTATTTATTCCGATGGTTTTAAAAAAAAAGTTCCATATAATGTAGGTCAGCCCTTTCGATTGTAAAACTATCGAGTTTGTATTTCAAAATTCTTTATCTAATTTATGTCGCTCTAAGTTAAACACAATTTAATATTTTTGTACAGTGATAATAACTATTAGTCTGGTTTGATTCTAAAAGCCTATGATTTGTATTTCAATTAAAAGTTGTCTGTGTATCTCTCTAAAGAAAACAAAATAAAAATGATTGCAAAAATAATTAACCCAATTAATTTTGATTATATCTATTTAACGTCAACAATAAATATCAACGACCACACAAGAATAATCAGCCAACTCGTAGGGATTTAATTGAAATAATTTGTGAATGTACTTAAATGTTTTAACTCTTATAAGTTGTAGGAATAGTAGGATACACTTTCCAAATAATTACATACATACAGGTACCTATAACGGGTATCTCTTCATGAGATTATTTTTCTATATACTAACAACTCTAGTCTGTTTTATATTTCAATGCAATACAGAATACGATTAATAATTAAATTTAAATAGCTGCGTTTTTTTTTTTCTTTAGCTAAACCAGCAACATGATACAGCTCAAGTTGTTTGTTGGTACATTGGTATTATTAGTTCTTTGTGAATATTCCATATCTATAGAAGACAAAATGGTTAGTATTTTTACAAATTATGTAATATTTTATACATTAGTACCTAATTTTATAAAAACCTTAATCAACCAATTAATTGGAAAAGACAATAAAAAAAAAAAGTAATATTTGGCTACATTTCAAAGCTAAAATCTTTTGTTCTTTCACTTGATCACATATAATGCATTCATTTTAATTATTTGAGTTTATTTATCAATTTTTTTTCTAACTTTAGGTACCAAATTTTAACCATTTATCACTGATATAAAATATTAATTATTACATTCAAATTGGAAAACTTGAAATAATTAATTATTTATTAAGTATTATGATTTTTTTTATAATCATTAGGAATTATTATTATGATCTACATTAAATTGTCTTTTCCCTACTATTTGGGGTATACATTTTAGAATGGTGTATGAATTGAAATGATTATATTAATAACAGTCATTGAATAGGTAATAATTTTATATACCAAATTTTTTGGAAATACACAAATAATTTTCAAGAAATTTGGTTTCTAAAATGGTTAATTCAATCTCAGATTCCAGTATAAGATAATAGGATAGTTCATACTCTGTGTTGGTTACACTATTATAAATAATATTTCAATTTATTTAATTTGTCCACAGAGAAAAACTAAAAAGTTTAATAAAAATAAAAGTGATGGTTTACCAGACCATATTCTGGAAAAAATTTTGATAAAAACAATGGAAAATGAATTAAAAATTAATGAAAGACCTCCAGAAAATATGGAGATGACCAAACAAAGTAAATATATCTTTAAGATTATTGACATTAATTAAAGCACTTATATTTTATACAAATTATTTAGTATTCTAACACAAGTTATTTTATAACTTATTATATTATTTATTCCATAAGTTGTATATAATTGTGGAACATGCAATAGCTACTCTGAGTTGTATAATTTACAAGTAAGTAACCATAAATAGAACATTTCTTATTTTGTAGATACCAGAAAATCTAAATCCACGATCAGTAATAATTAACTATTAATGAAAATATATTAAAAATAATTGTGTTATATTGACATTTAAAATACTTGTACATACATCTTATATGTTTTTAACAATCAAAATGCAATAAAATATATATTTTTTTTTTAATTAAAAGGTATGATAAGTTCTAATTTAAATAATACAGTGAGCATCTGTTAAGTATACATACTTTTAATTCAATATTGTGATATTTATTGGTCAAACAAAATCTAAATAAATATTTTTTAGTTTCAATAATTATACCGCACCACAATAAAAATTAAACATAAACACTAAACAATATATAACCAAAAAAACATAACCTAAATATTCATTATAATATAGTATTAAATAAAATCTAAAATTCATAAATTATTAAATAATAATAATTATAGTCAATATTAACACTGTAGATAGTTTGAGTAAGTAAATTCAATTAGATATCTTTCTTAGCCAACATTTGTATTATTTTACTCGTATAGTTATAATAATAATAAAAATATAATTTATTGTTTTAGACATGCTATTTTTTTTCATGACTAAATTATTAGTATATTTTTATTATAAATGTTATGAAAATATCACAATTTTATAAACAAAGTCAATAGTACATTTAATTTAATTATAAATTTGGTTAACATTTAACCAAACAGATTTAATTGAGTCTTCGGGTCTTGAAGTTAAAATTGCTTGTGCACCTTTAGGAAAAACATATATTAAAAACCCATCTAGAATAATACATCCTTCTTCACAATGGGTTTCTACTACTGCTTGTTTTATTTTATCAGATTTTATCATTTCTTTTGATTGCCAAAGAGATCTTCCTGTTGGTTCTCTTATGGTATATTGTAAATATTCAGAGTTTGGACTATAAACTAGACTTTTATTATAATCATTCACTATTTGAATACATTCTTGTTCTGATATAGACTGTAGGTTTAAAATATTTAAAATCTTTTTAACTTCATTGATGCTTATTTTATTTAATGAATAACTCCATGCACTTGATCCAGTTCCAGTACTTAGACATAATCCAGATGATTTTATTTTTATTGGTGAATTACCATCAAAAGTACATTCCAATTCAGATGTACGCCCAGGCATTTTATCACCAATAAATACCTCATTTAGTGCTAACATATCATGTGTTGAATGAGAATCCGGTCTAATTCTTACAAAATCTTGATACATATTGACAGGTGGTTCCATTTTTTCTGAAAAATAAAAATAAATAATATCAATTAAACTATGTTATAAAAATGTATGTTATGCATTCATACTTTCTTCACTTTTCATCGAAACTCTAATTCTATGTCTATCTATGTAAGAAAATTTTTGTTTTTCTAATGTATCAAAAGTTTTTTGTACATTCAGGGAACAGATATCTGGCAAACATAAATAACCAAGTGATGAACTTGGATTAGAGTTAATGCCAACAACTGGTGTTTGGTTGTCCCGAACATAACTGGACATTACTAGAAATGTACCATCTCCACCAATAGCTATAAGAACATCTGCCCATGATACTGCTTCAGTATTAATATCCTTGACAAATTTGTATAGTTATTATTTAAAAATATGATATTCAATTTAAATAGTTACCTTTAAGTTTATAACTTTTGATTCCACATCCAATCGTTTTATAGCAGCTGTCACTTCTTTTACAATGTTATAGTGTTCATTGTGTGTATCCAAAATAGTCTTTAAGTTAGCACCCTGGTCACTTAATTGATTTAACAATTTTTTTTCAGAGACATTAGGGTTTTCGAGTCTTTCACGTTCTACTCTTGTGTACTTAGATACCAATAAAACTTTTTTGCCTTTCCATAGTTGCATATACCTGCGTCCAATACTCATTTGTTTAAATGTCTTTTTAATAATCATTAGATCCTTGTCAAAAAAAACACTGTAGCGCTGGACGTGAATGTAAGGTGAATGAAATTGGCGTGGCGGAATGTGTTTGTGTTTCAGAGTGTCCTATTGAAACAGATGACAGAAGAAAGGTGAAATTAATACAAATATATTTTGTGTATTATTTTTAATAGTTCAAAAATCTTTATAGGTGTGTTCAAATTATAATGAAACTTGGGGTTCTGATTGTGAAATTTATAGAATGCGATGCAATTGTGAAGAAGACTCAAGCAAATGCCAAAACCCAGAATTTAAACACTTGCATGTAGAATATTATGGTGCTTGTAAACAATTGCCAGTAAGTTATAAAAACATTATTTGTCTGAAACAAAGATACATGGATCATAATATTGAATTATTAATTTTTTCACTAAAAATATATAGAAATGTTCAGATTCTGAAATGTCAGATTTTCCGAGGAGAATGAGGGAATGGCTATATAACATAATGCAAGACTTGGCTGACAGAGAAGAATTAGGCCCTCATTTTACAAAAATGGTGAAAGAAGCAGAAACTAACTTAACAAAACGTTGGAGCAATGCAGCAGTTTGGAAATGGTGTGATTTAGATGGTCACCCACATGATAGGTTAGACACGAACAGATTAAAAAAATTGGTTTTAATAATGAAAAGTAACAATCCATTTACTTATGGTAATTTCAAATTTATAACATAAATTGGCTGGTAGAACCAATAATACATTCTTAGAATATAATGTTTATGTAATGTAAAATTCAATGAGTTAATCGTTAATTTAAATAATTTTAAAATGTTGCATATCTACTTTAATTTATTTAGAAATATTTGTCAAACTTTCATACCTACTAGTATACCATTATAGGCATACTATTATTACTTTTAATAATAACACAGTACCTACTTAGTTTTAAATATTCTATTTGATCCAACTCATTATATATTTATAACAATTGAATCATTTCATTGCAACTTTTTGTATAAATTATAAAATGCCAATACTTTAAAAAATATGTTAGTTAATCTAGTAACTTAATCAAGCTGATCACAAAATTTTGCCCAAATGTTATACTATTACATTATTATTTATAGTATATTATCAGATTATTATTTTTCAAGCATGTTTGTCTCAGAATATCTAAATATTCAATATTTTAATGGTTTTAACAAAATGTAGAAATTACTTAGGAATTAAATTGCTTGGAATATAACAATATTTATGTTAGAGTAGGTAGGTGTACTTATAGTATAATTGGTTATTAGTATATTATTATAGTTATTATATTATAACATAACACTTAAAATATTATATTTCAGAGCTGTATCAAGACATGAACTATTTCCAATTAGAGCACCACTGCAATATTTGGAACATTGTATTGCTCCATTTTTAAATAAATGTGATACTAATAACGATCATATGGTCACTCTTGTTGAGTGGGGTGATTGTTTAGAAATACCAAAGGTATGAATATTAAATTATTCTCATTTTGAACATAGGTTAATTAATGTGATACAATCATTTATAATAATAATAACTTGTTTCAGGATACATTGGAGGAAGATTGTGATTATTTGCGAAACGAACTAAATTAAAAGATACCTGCATCTAGCATGAAAATGTGTTCAATGAACAAAATAATTTAATACCTATTTAATTTAAAAAGAATATATATTTGATTCATTAGGGTGCCTTTATAGATATATATTATAGATACATAACTGTTTAAAGCAAATCTAAATTTATTGATCAAATCTATTAAGTAATCTACAATTAATTTATTTCATAATTAATAATTCAAATTATTTGTTTGCTAAGTCACTAATCACTGGATACATTGTATTTTATTTTAAATTTAATAACAAGTTTTATAATTTTACATACCTAGTTTAGTGACTATACTACAATATGAAATATTACAGAATTTGAAGGATAAATTATTTTAGCAATATTTTAGGAAATTATGATTTTTGAAAATAATAAATTCAAATATAATATTGCAAATATTAGTTATTATTCCTAGTAAATAGGAAATATAAATTTAAAAAAATTTAATTTCTGTGTTCTACGTGCTATATTTCTCATTGTGAAAATAAAACATGAATATTTGTACCTACTGATTAAACGTTAAAGGAATACTTAGAAAAACTAATTGAATGATTTTATATAATATACTAAGAATACCTACTATATTTATATACATAATGTACCTAGCTATTACAAAACAATTTATTATTAGAATATAAAAGTTAATTCAATGAGAAATACTTACAATATATCAATCTTTTAAAATGTATATTTAGAAAAATAAATGATAAAGGTACTGTGAGGAAAGTGAATATGTACTATTCAATGTCAGGTAGATGTTATTGTTTATAGATCAATTAACATTTATGCAATGACAAAGTTTCAAAAAAATAATAGCCTCTTGAAAAATATTACAAAATGTCAGCCTATCACGTGTTCAAAGAGAACCGGCATATAGATATACTACATTACTGCAATGACACAAGTTTGGAAAAAGTTCAACAAGAGAGTATCGCGGTGCACAAGTGCAACGCGTCGGCTGGAGGGGGGCGGCGAAAAGCCCGACAATTGAAAACTGTTAGAGGGAAAAGTACGGTCGTCCGGTGGGGTGACACTGTTTGTCGCGCCGAAGTTCGGTATTCTGACGGGATTTCGGCGATCGCCGTATGTTATCTCAGACGAATTCAAAACCATTTTCGGGCGGAATTGACGTGCCAGACGAACTAATGACATGTTTACGCGGAACGTGTGTATCTATTATACCTACACATATCATCTAAAATCGAAAATCACCGAAAGCGGTAAGTACAGGCAAAACCGTACGCAGCACACAATCGTTTGTTTAGCGTGCAAAACGGCCGGTAAACTCGGTCCGTATACTATGGGTACTGAATGGGATTGTCAATTTTTTTATTCTCAAAACACATATTTTTTTCGACGATGACGTACTCGAGCCGTGTCGAAAAATGTATTTGTGTTAGTCTTACTTTGCTCTTTTGTTTTCTTCGTTAGGACACTATTCGGTATATGTCTATTGGTATAGGTATATTATTATAAATACGAGTATACGATACACCGCGCGTTGTATGTCCCTCTCGGGGATGATCCCGTAGTCGTCGGGTAAGGAGATTTTGTTGGCCGTATTTTTCCTTTTCGATCGCGCGCACTTTACGGCTTTTGTTCCGTGTGTTGATTTTTCGTCACGCGATCGGTCGGATTACCTATATGACAAGGCACACGACCGAATATTATCGTTAACTTGTAAGATTTGCGAAAAGTGAAAGTCGCACGTATTACCTGCGTACACACAAACACACGCGCACCCGTAATCGCTGCACTAGATAACTCCCGGTTTATTTTGTTTTTGTTGGTTTTGCAATACACGACCCGCGACCGCGGTTGTTTTATCAAGTCCGAGTCCTTATCGTGCTGATCATATGGTGACGGTCATGTGTTGTTGTTGGGAAATTACTCGTTCGGAGTGGGGACTGACGAGGAAGTAGTCTGCATTATAATATTAACCGTGGGAGGCGCCGACGTCGGATCGTGCGTTGCGTGCCGCCCGTGTTATCTTTATCACTGGCTGCCGTACAGTTTGGCCGTGTATTTTAACCTTAAGCCTCCCCCCCTCCCTCGGTCATCATGGTCCATACATTGGCACTTGGCAGTCAACACTAATCATTGATAACTTCCATACACGGTTAATCAATACTCGACGATCTTCATTCATTCGTTTACTCAATTACTGTTAAAATTGTAGTGTATCATAATAGTTGTCCATTTAATATTAATTATTATTAAAGCTATTTTAAATTTAAAATTAAATTTTTCATCAATTTCTTTCGATTTATCAGGTAATTTCATATTATAGTAGTTATGTTTTAAAATTCTATCTTTGCACATATCACTTTCCATTTTCCATGTAGCAGGTAAATTACAATATAAATGTATACAATTTCGTCAAAATTCTTCATTACCTATTTAACTTATTCATCATCTTTTGATAAACATATAAAATTTACAACACACCGTTCGACTCGATCGACTGATATATTGTTCATTCGTGGGCATAGGTACACGGACAGTCTTGACTGTCAATCACTTTGATTGTCATTCAAGACTGACCGTGTGTGGGGAGGCTTTACAGACCCTATACTTGAATTCGATCCAAGTAGTATGCAAATTAAATTTTCCAAATGGACCATTATCAGGTTTGGAGCAACAGGTAGGTTTAGTTTTTCCATTTCCCTTCTGCATTTCACTCATGGTGGCTTATTTTCATAAATTAGGTTTTATGTTTACACTTAGTACACTCACTTCCTCGGATAAACCAGATGGTTATGTATGTTTTATGAAACTAGCAAGATCCCGATAACTTTGGCTCCAAACATTTATAATGATTTGAGATAAAGATCATTGATTCAAGGAGAAAAGTCCTCTGAGAAAAATCGATATCTTGAATTTTTGTTTCGAGTGTCAGCAATATTATATTTTAAAAAGATAACATAGGTAGGTATGTGTAATATGTGCAATATGTAATATTATATTTTTTTCCGTATATTAAATTATACAAATGCGTAAATATCAATGGAAATATGTGTATAGGTATACTATAAAGCTTGTCATTCGTCCCGGTAGTTCCTGTTTTAAGGGCATGTCCTGGTATCTCGGCCGGTCATACAGTTTTTCCGTGTTAATAGAGGCTGAGAGTAAATTTAAGTACAATGCTTTTTCGTATGAATGAAATACAGTACAGCTTTCGTACCGCATGAGGTCTGATGGTCTGTTAAATAAATTTTGATTTACTAGTAACAAATTTAACAAATAAAAATTAAGAATGATACAACTCTATTGAAGAAAATTCATTCATTCGTTCAAGTATTATTCCTAATTTTAATACCAATAAACAATAAGTAACAGTTATTGTATAAAAGATGTAAAATTTAAAAAAAAATGTCATTCAATATCATGTCTCGGTTTGGGGATTTCAAAATCTGATAACCCTAGGTATAATAGATAAATAAATAATATAATAATTAATGATACGTATACAGTGCGTTCACACCAAGAGGTACCACTACATACTACAGTTGGTTGACCGAGTATTGAAATATAATTTTCGGGGAATGATATGGAGTACCCAAGTATACATTTTCAAATTTCAAATGTTTTACCCTTTTGGTACGCACATGCGCAATACAACTTATTTTCTTTTTAAATGTCAACACCATTTTTTTCTACAAATTCGGATAGATTATTTTTTTTAAAACAATTTTTGTGTAAAAAGTTTTTTCTAATTACAAAATTGGCAAAGTTATAGTATGTTGAAATTTAATATTTTCGAATAATCTGTAATTGACGAAATTATGTTCAACTTTTATACTAGAATATCGAAATGATATCTCCGATATTGTGAAATACCTGTTTAGTAAAGTAAGTTGCATTGCGTATGCCCGTACCAAAAGGGTTAAACATTTGAAATTTGTTTCCAAAAGTGTGTATTTGGGTGCTCCATATGATTCCCCGAAAATTCCATTTTAATACTAGGTCATCCAACTGAAATATTTAGTGGTATCTCTTAACGTGAACGCACTGTATATAAATATCGGTTCAACTGAGGATCATAGCTCATTGATTTATCAAAGTCAAATTCATTATTGATAGGAATTTGAGTTTTTGATGAAGACACGGATGTATTTTGCTGTTAATCACAGCAAATATGAAATACAATTGTCTTCAACACAAACAAGAAAAGTTAAAGATGATAATCCAAATCGGCCAAGTCCAAAATTAGGTGTTCACAGTGGCGTAACTAGAACTTTTAATGCCTGTTGAAAACATTGTAAATTAACTAAATTATGGACCAAGTACAGGATCGGTGCTATGTGGGGAGTATACGACCATTAATAGTCAGTCCACTAAAAAATAATGCCTTGGGCCCTGATTTGGAGCCCCTAAATGTCATGGATCTGTGGCTCATTGTTCGTCATGCCACCCTATCGGTACGCCACTGAGTGTACTCCATAAGTATTAAGCACAGCATTAAGGAAATGCCACTAAATCACAGTGAATTACGAACATATTTAAATATTTATTTATATATCTATATTGTGGAATTTAATATAATTTAATTAATGGAGAGAGGAATCAGAAGTAGTAAGAATTGTAAGGAAAATAGATGTACGAAGAAATAGGGTAGAGGAAAACTGAAAAGAAGGTGTTTGGATGCCAATGAGAATGATATGAGAATAATGGGTATGCACGAGGACGATGTCCTTTCTTAGGAGATTAGGTCAAATGAAAGTTTAGAACGAGTATGGCTGATCTCAAATAATTGGGATAAAGACGAAGGAAAATATTATATTCAAATTAACTATGTTATCTTCTTCAAATTCAAATATAATATCTAAAAAAAAGAATAGCTTTAGATTTTTCTTAGAGAACATTTTTTCCCTTAATCGATGATCTTTACCTAAAACCGTCTTAAATTGTTGTCGCCAAATTTATAAAACTCAAAGCTATAACTAGATTACGTTTCAGCTTGGGCCGAACTAAAATAAGGTTTGTAAATATGTCGCCCTACCCCGACACGACAAATCCTATGCCTATATTATTGGTAACCAATCGTAGTTTTTTTCTCATATTATTCTGTTTTTTTCGAGGTTTGTAAATACTATAATATTATTTCATAATGATATGCGTCCGATATTACCGTGTTCGTGTTGTTCGCACGTCCACTTGACCGGCCTCCCGCCTGATTTTATCTCGGTTGACCCTCGCGCCGTCTGAACAATAATAAAAATAATAACATCCTTTTATGATTGTATCAATGATCGTTTCGTAGAATTTTTGACCGTCTCACATAATCGATGTTCAACTCTTCAACGCGTACTCAGCCGTGGCGTCGAGCATTGTCCCCGTGCTTATAATAGTCTCCATATAATATTTCGAATGCGTTATTGTTGGGAAGAAATGGTTTATTTTCTTAATGTTTTTTTCTATAAGTATGTACCTACTTATATTTATGTTCCTCGCAGCTCGCAGGCTAAACCCCGGGATATCTGCAGCTATTTTTGAATATTCGTAATGACCTAGATATTTTAAAGGATGACCAATATCCCATAAGAAACTGCTCGTAATCAGTAGAACAAGGAATTTGTATTAATTTTTTTTTTCATTATACTCTAATACTGCCCTTCTAGGCTAAAATGCAGTAAAGCGGCATAGTGTATTAGATATAGTTATAAGAAAAATAACTTTTCCCGAATAGCCTTATTTTTTTAATTCTCATCAATACTAAACAAATATATCGTATTGTATGCGAACTATTACTAAGAAAAATAATCACATAATGTTATTAGTTACTGCATTTTTTACTTAGCACATATCTATATATTTGGTTATATCAAATTTGGTAATATTTTTGGTTAGTATCATTCCTATAAATACTAAATATATATTAAAAATATATTTACCTCGATTATTATGACGTCTATTGTGTTTACGCTACAAGGATCAAACAAACAAGAATCAAAAATAAAATTCGATTGATACATCACAAAGTTTAAGTATAAAATTTGATGTTACGTTTTCTTACGATTTTCAAGAATAAATTAATTTTTTGAAGCATTATTGATCATTTTTCAATAATTATTTTAAAACATTTCCTCGTAGAGTTATAATAGCATAGTTTTCTTTGCCGTAATCATTATTTTCTCGGAGAGTAT